CCAGAGACAGAGTGGGAAGCAGAAGAGGCAGACAGACTGAAATACACTGCTGAGGGGAGCAGTTGGAGAGAGAGGAGAAATCTTCTGCATCATATGGGTCACCTCCCAGGCTGGGAATTGAACTCGTACTGTAGTGGCTACAGCTAGGGCTAGCTTCCTGGTGCTGCACTTTAACTTGTTGTGCCACTAGGGAGGGCCTGAATTCACTCACTTATTTAGCAAATATTTGTTGTGTCAATTTTATGTAAAGTTAAAGAGCAGCAAAAATTAAGTTGTATTTTTAATAAATAAAAAATGGATTAGTTGTATCACTTAAAATCATAAATTTAAAGCTGGATCTAAATAAATTGCCACTGCATTCACCTTGCTTACCATCTTAAAAGAGATATCAAAGAGGGAAGGGTTGTTGGCATTTAACCAAACCAGAATTTCAAAGGTGACACTTTATCTTACTAGTAAATTTTCATTCAGATTTGTGATTGCCATTGGCTTAAGAAAAGAGTGATGTTCCACAATAAGAATAAGATATGGGAGAAAAAAAAACAAGTGTCATATATTACTAGGACAGAAATAATTTATTTATCTTACTTTACAGGATATTTTGCTGGGTATTTGGTGTGTTCCCTCAGGTGGGATATGAGAGTCATTTATGAGAGCGACGATCTTTCTGTGAGTAGAAAGTACTATAGTATATTATTTATAAATTTATTTATATAGAGTATAATAATATAAATATATTATATTATTAATATATTGTATATTTATAATGTAAATATAAACATATTAATATTATTTATAAAATTATTTATATAGAGTCTGAATTGATTCAAATGTGGTCTGTCCCCTATAGTTTAGTTCAACTCTGAGCCTCATTTCCTTGTCTATGAGTAAAAGATAGTAAGTCTACCTCATTAGGTTGTGATCTTAGGGTACATTAACATAGTACTTAGTATTTAGTAAATGCTTAATACATGGCATTTATTATTTTTGTTATTATAAAAGCCAAGTCTGAGGTAGTCTGAGACCTGAAAGCCAAACAGTTAAAATCTAGAATTATTCACATTTCATTTTAAGGGGATGACACATTTTCTCTGAAATGGTTGATGAAGCTTTTCTAACAAATAATTTTTGTTAACAAGATTTAAGAATAGTAACTGTAAGTATGGGAAAATAATTCAGGAGAAATACAACTTCCAATTTCCTTTACATTTTCTAATCCATTAACTTTGATAGAATTCTTAAATGTGTAGATTTTTTTTCTTGTTATTAAATGATCACTGGTGACTAATTTGCAAACTAGTATGTCTTGTTGAAAACATAAGATATATTGCAGCTGTTTGAGCCTAACAAAGTTCTCTATTTTTGACTTACCGGTTTTATATCCTAAGTTGCTGAACTTTCAGGAAATTTGATTTTTTTTTTTAAAGATTTATTTATTTGTGCATACAGAACTGGGGTACAGGCCAGAGGCTCCGGGGCGGTGAGAGGCTTCACCAGAGACAGAGTGGGGAACAGAACAAGCAGATCGAGGAAGCACACCGCTGAGGGGAGCATCGGGCGGGTCAGGAGAGGTCTGCCACGCCATGTGGTCACCTCCGGGGCAGGCGGGAATCGAACTCATGCGGAAGCGGCCCCAGATTCTCAATGCTGTGCCCTAACCCGCTGTGCCACCAGGGAGGGCCAAAATTTGATTTTTAATATTACATACTTGCAAAGTGAAAAATTATGTTTATGCTTCAGGAAAATACACATGTAAAATATACGTATATGTAAATTAAAAAAGCACCATTTAGTCTTTGAAAGGTGATGAAAAGCAATTTATGGGGGCATCCCTCCTGGTCTAGGATTTGGGTCTCAGTGCTATCACCTCTATGGCCTGAGTTCCAGCCCTGGGTAGGAAGCTAACTCACATATGGCACAGCAAGCCTTTCCTGTCTCACCTACTGCTCCCCTTAGCAGTGTATTCAGTAAATCTGACTGTTCTACTCCTTACCTGTCTCTCATGAATCCTTTCACCCCTCACACCTCTGGCTTGCACCCCAGTTCTTCTATGTAAAAAAAAAAATCAACTTAGATTTGAAATACATAATGAAATGTGTAGCATTATCTTACAGACTCACAAATATCTCTGATAGTTGAGGTATTTATCGCTTCCAGAAGATCTCCACTTTGTTTTTGCTGAACATTTTGTTTCAGACATATAAAAAAATACTAAAATGTTTAAAAGTTTACAAATAAATATGGATGCAAAACACTATATGCTCTAAATTACATTCGTCAACAATTTTGCCTTTATTTCTATCTGGCCAGTTGTGAGACCATCAGTCCTGTCTTTGTTTTTGCTGCGTGTTAAAGAGTGGGAATTCCAGTTTTCTTCAAAGTGTAACTTGTTCTGCCAGGGACAAAAATATGCTCATTCTTCTCAAACGCTGGGGTGGGGAGGAGGAGGGGGAAACATTAGTATACTGAGTTATTTCTAAGAGAAAAGCCTTATAAACTACCAAGACACCAGCAATTGGAGGCATGGCTGGTAAAACAACCAATTAAACTCTAATCCTAATTCTGAGAGTAGGTAGGTGCCTAAAAATGTATAATCTTGGTACTGATGTGTTGATTCCATTTTCTTAAAAGCGATGGAGCCACTCATTCAATCTATAATGTTGTAATATCTTGAAAGCAAAGGACTACAATGGAGCTCATCTACCTGTATGCCCACTTGCCGTTCAGGATGCTTTGTGTTTTATGATATGAAACTCGCTTTATGAATGAATCTGGGCACTCAGTGTCAGTTCATCAATAAGATATTAGTGAAAATTTTTCTTTTGAAATGAAAAATTAGTAGAACTTAATATTCCCTTCATTCACAGGATCATTCACAAAGCCATTACTAGCTTAAAAAACAAAATGTGCCCTCGGATATGTTGTGCTTCATGCTTTCTCTATAATCCCTGGCATACAACTCTAAAAAATAAATGTATTTTCTTTTTTAAGAGATTCATTTTATTGGGTCCTCCCTGCTGGCACAATTGGTTAAAGCACAGCATTAGGAAGCTATCCACAGCCACAAAGGCATGGGGTTGATCTCCTGGCCAGGGAGCTGACCCACAAGGCATAGCAGACCTCTCCTGTCTTGCCCACTGCTCTCCTCAGCAGTTTGTTTCAATCTGCCTGTTCTGTTCCCCTTCCTGTCTCTGGTGACTCCTAGCACCCTCTCTCTGATGAATCCTCTCACACAACTCTTGCCTGTAACCCCAGTTCTTGTATGAATAAATAATCTTAAAAAAGTATTTATTTATGCATACAAGAAGTGGGGTACAGACCAGAGGTGTAGCATAGGTGGGGGAGAGCATTCACCAGAGACTGGGTGAGTAGTAGAACAGGTGGAACTATTGAAATAAACTGCTGAAGGGAGCAGTGGGCAAGACAGGAGAGGTCTGCTGTGCCATATGTGGGTTAAGCTCTCCATGGCTGGGGACTGAACTTGTGTGGCTGTGGCTGATGATAGCTTGATGGTACTGAAACTGTAACCCTTGCACTAGCAGGGAGGCCTGGCTTTTTTTTTTTTTTTAAGTCATTACCATGGCAAAGGATTTTGAGAACTTTTAGCTTGACATGTAACATCCATATAGATCATTTCTATCTTCAAATGTAAATGCAAACACTGTTATGTAAAAATTCCTCCACATTACAAGAAAGTTTAAAATCCAAATTCTAGGATAGTTAATATTTATTTTCATTTGAAATGGATTGTAAATCTTTATTCAAAATTCAAATCTTGATTTTTATTTTCCTGTTTAGCTCAATTTCCTTATATTAGAGCTCTGGTGCTACTGGGTTAAAAATTTGGCCTGATGATTTATTAGAATTGTAGGTTAGAAAGACTGGAAAAAAGTCCACTAGGGGCTGTGCACAAAGCACTCTATTCGGGTAAACTGAGATAATTTGTCACCCTTTGTGGATAAATTTCCTTCAATAAAGAAGTGCCATTGACCCCCACCTAGTGGTGATTTGAAGAAAAGCAAGTGAAGTGGGGGTGGGGGTGGGGTGGGGGAGTCTCCAAGTCCCAAACTTAAATACCTTTCCTTGAAGCCCTGATTAGGGAATTTAGTATGTGTTAAATTGTAAAAGCGAAACTCCTAATCTCAATCACTGGAGAATTCATTTACAATTTAAGTGAACCACTCAGGAAGCTTGCTTAAGTTTCTTAGGCTGTGCCCCAGGGAATCTAAGTCTGGGACGGACTTACTTCCCAAGTCTCCACTCCTCATACTAGACATATTGCAGCTGAACACTACTCCCTCCTTACTAGGAGTAGAGTCTACTAACAAACCTGAATGGCAACATGGTGGAGGCAGTAGTGAACAATTTGGAGATCAATGTGACTTCACAGGCCCAACCCCTTGAGCTCATATAGAAGTGATAAGGAGATGGGCTTAGGCTCAAAGAAGTTGTTGTTAGGACAGAAGACTTTTTACTTGAAATAATCATGATTTATATTTTTAAGAATCCTTGGCAAACTATATTTCAGTAGTTTGTTTTAAACTTTAAAAAAAATATTTATTTACTTATGCATACAAGAACTTGGGGTACAGGCGAGAGGTATGGGGGGTGAGAGGGTTCACTAGTGACAGAGTAGGGAACAGAATAGGCAGACTGATTGAAACACACTACTGAGGGGCGCAGTACATGGGTCAGGAGAGGTCTGCTGCACCATGATGGGTCACCTCCCTGGTTGGGGATCGAACTTGTACTGAAGCGGCGGCTGCTAGCTTTGTAGTGTGCTCTATCAGGTTCATCACCAGGGAGGGCCTAGTCCTCCCAATAGTTAACTGTATTAATCTTTTCCCAAATTAAAATATCTTTGGCAGGAACTACTGAAAAGAAGGGAAAATAAGGTACTTTATGGTCACGTACATGTCCTTACTCATGTATATGTATGATAATGTAATGATGTGTGCAGTAGGACAATGGAAAAATAAAGGGAACTGTATTATCATCTTCCACTGACTACATGACAACTCTGCTCGTGGACACTTTATTCACTTTAAAATAAATGTGCTGTGAAGCTGCCCATATCTAAAATCTGTACTACACTGTAGTCAAGTACAAAGGCTAGCCAGCTTGGTATGTTTCATCAGAGTAAACCATTCTAAATCAAGCGTCTCATCACTATCTGTACCAGGTATACAGTTTGGGAAAATACACACTCCTGTCAAGGAGAGTGAAACAGGTAATAGTCTGAGAAAGGAGCAACCTAGGCAAATAAGGTTTGTTGAGATTACCAGCGTCCACTATGTGTCCACTTTCTAATATAATACCTGGTAGATGGTAGTTGCTAGATAAAACTTTATTGGAAGGATTTTAAAGCACTAGAATTTACATATTTTACATAGTTTCTCGTTAACAACTGCCTATCAATTCTTCATTATTTTTACTTCATTAACTAGTTATATATACTATAATTTACATAATAAATCTATTATTTAAAAACTTTCAATAGATGTAACAATTATGACAGTTCAATAGATTGGCCTCTCATTGCTTGGATGAGGTTTATTTTGCAATCACACTATCCAAGCCAAAGAAAAACACAACCGATTCATAAGACACAACAAAAATGAAAAAAGTGACATAAAAGTCAGCCTTAGACGTTTATCAATAACCTCTTATATACACATATATATTCACAAAGTGGTTGAGTCCTTTTATATGATCCTTTAGATGAGATCCAAAGGCTGAGAAGTCTAAATGAGACACCTGGTCAGACAGAAATTGTCATGACTTTCAGTATTTTCTTTCTCTGAACTTTATTATTCTTTAGTTGGGAAGAGAAAGAAGTCCATTTTCATCTGCTGTATCTAAGATTTTACAGATCACTGGAGATTCAACCTAAAGGAGAAGAACAACAACACAGAATTAGAAACTTGCTGACTACTTTCTTTATTCCATATTAGTCTGCTAAATGAGTAAATGTATAGAAAATTGGTAAATATATAAAAGTTTTGGTAAATATATGACAGTCCTTGTTTTGGATAAACTACCCAATGTTATTTCTACACACTGATCTTTTTGAAAAAAAATTTTAAGCATCCACATAAAAATACCAGCTAGGTAGAGAAGACTTTGTATGTAAGCAAAGAGGCCAGAGGGAAAGACAAGAATAAGAGAGGAATACACGGATTTAATATAACATAAAATTAGATGATTATAACAAAACAATCATTTATAGAATTTAAAACCAAAGGCTAAGAAAGTATAACATGGCTAGGTGTTGAAGTTATCAGATACTGAAATAATTATAATACGGAGGAAACAGCGGGAAAGGAAGAAAGTAAGTGTGAATAAATGGCTATGTACTTTTTGGAGAAAGAAAATCATAAAAAAAACTAAGTGGAGATATTAAAAATTAAAAGTACAAGACATAAATTCATTCAAAGAGCTGGACTGACAATGCAGAATACAGAATGAGAGAATAGTTGCAGGAAATGACCCATATTGAAACAAAGAAAAAATGAGAAGAAAAGAAAAACTAGCAAAGATTTTTGAGGCAATTTCAAACTAACATGCATAATTGGAATTCCAGAAAAAAAGGAAAAAGAGTGGGACAGAAGAAATCTATGAGGAAATACTGATCAAAATTTGCCAAAACTGATGAATGATAGCAATCCATGAATCTTAAGGAGTTCATTTAAATAAAACCAGGGTAAATACAAAGAAAATCTCCTTTAGTTTTAATATAACCAAAGGTAACACCATAACATTTCCAGAAGGAACTACAGCATGAAATCTTTTTGACTTTAGTGCAGAAAATTTCTTATAACTAAAAAAATCATTTGCTTGAAAGAGAAAAACATTGTTCAGATGAACTTCATAAAATAAACTTTCGCTCATTAAAAGATAAGAATAAGGGCCCTCCCTGGTGGCGCAGCCAGTTAAAGCACAGCATTGAGAAGCTAAAGCCACTTCTGCATGAGTTCGATTCCCGCCTGCCACATGGCACGGCAGACCTCTCCTGACCCGCCCGCTGCTCCCCTCAGCAGTGTACTTCGTCGATCTGCCTGTTCTGCTCCCCACTCTGTCTCTGGTGAAGCCTCTCGCTGCCCCTGAGCCGCTGGCCTGTACCCCGGTTCTGTATGCAGAAATAAATCTTTAAAAAAAAAAAAAAAAGATAAGAATAGGGAAGCCATGTCTGCACAGGGACGGAGATTGCATGATGTGCAATACGAATACAAAGAACTCATAGCGAGCATATATTTGAACTCCTGGAAATGGACATGATGAAGAGAAATGCAAACAATAAAAGTGAGTAAAAGACTGATATTCTTTGGAGTTGGGCTCTTTTTCGACTGTACTTTTTCCCTTTGGCTCTGTTCAATCTAACTGTAGCAAAAATCTCCAATTATAACAAAAATCATGATAAATCAGTTTAAGAGAGAACACTCTTCATATGTAGTCAAATTCCTCCTTTCTCACCTTCTGATATAGGATAATCCTGGCCTGCCTTTGTCAATAATCATGTTAGTTTAAGAAGGATCCTCTACCACTTATGTCTCCTTTTTGTGATTTTTGTTTTTATCTATTCATAGCTCCTATCATTAAGCTTATTATCTATATATTCCTAGTTGTCTTTGCTGTACATGGAGTTGAGCTGGCTCTCTACTGTGTCAGTATCAGATTAATTATTTTCTTTGAAAAAACCTGACCAGATACTTTACAAAGATATAAGAATGATCACATGAGAGGGTACTCACACTATTTTTTATATGAAAAATGTAAATTAAAATCCCTGAAATGGGGCCCTCTCTGGTGGCACAGAGGGTTAAAGCACAGCACTGAGATGCTAAAGTCACTTCAGCATGAGCTTGATCCCCGCCCCGGAGGTGATCCACATGGCACAGCAGACCTCTCTTGACCCACGTACTGCTCCCCTCAGTAGTGTACTTCATCGATCTGCCTATTCTGGCTCCCTACTCTGTCTCTGGTGAATCCTCTCACTGCCCCTGCACCTCTGGCCTATATCCCAGTTCTGTATTCATTTAAAAAAAAAAAAAATCCCTGAAATGGCTAAAATAAGACAACATGTTCATAATGGTCCAATGGTCCACTGCTGCCCTTTCAAATGGGCTAGTTAGGGCCCTCCCTGTCGGCACAACGGGTAAGGATGAGGTACTTGCAAGCTAGCCACAGCCACTTCAGTGCAAGTTGGATCCCTGGCCCCGATAGTGACCCACTTGGCACAGCAGACCTCTCCTGACGCGCCTGCTGCTCCCCTCAGCAGTGTACTTCATCGATCTATCTGTTCTGCTCCCCACTCTGTCTCTGGTGAATGCTCTCACCACGCCTGCACCTCTGGCTTGTATCCCATTTCTGTATGCATAAATAAAAACCTCAAATGGGCTAGTTAATATTTATAAAATATTTTCTCATTCTTCTATCATATAGAGTTATGCATTTTAGGTTTTGTTTCTCAAATTATGAATTTGATTAGTCTATCCGATTGGTTTTAATTTTCTTCTCTACTATATTCAGCATCCTTTACCTATCACATAGGTTTATTCATGGAGGAAATATGACAGTGTATATTTAATGTCAGTTTTTACCTTGTCAATTTTAGTCATTTAAATTATTAAATTTTATTAATATTACTATTAATAATTTCAGTCATTTAAATGATTAATATTACTAATTTCAGAAAATTAGAGTGACAGTAACATGATGGGAGGATGTGGAACAAATGGACTCACACGTTGCTGATAGATGTAAAATGCTACTACTACTGAGAGACATATTTGGTAAGAGTTAAATACATCTAATCTGTGATTTGGTAATTTCATTCCTAGGTAAATACTCAAAAGAAATGAAAACATGACTACTGGAAGACTATTTTCGTAAAAAAGAAAAAGAAAATAAAAAGTATTCATAGCAGCCTTATTTATAAAATCCATGTCTGTTGAATGGATAATGTGGTATATAAAACAAATACTATCCAGTAACATAATAGAGACTGAAGTGATGTAAATGCAACAACATGGCTTAGCCTGAAAGACAACCTGGGTCAGAGGCTAGGCATAAAAATTCACATACTACATAAATTACATTTACTTAGAATTAAGAGGCAAAATTGATGACATCAGAAATCAGAATGGAATATCTTTAGGATTGAGAGATCCTGATAGGAAATAGGCATAAGAAAATATCCTGCAGTGATAGACCCTTGTTTGGGGTGATAGTTATATGCACATATGAAATTCTCAAAACTTATCAAAGTCAGTACTTTTTCTTTATATTTTATTATGTATAAATTAAGCTGCAATAAAAAAATGTCAGCTGTTGTAGACTTAGTGTTAAAAATTAAAACATAACCTTACACTGAATTCTTGAGTATTATTTTTTTACTTACCCCAAGAATATACTGACAGGAATGAGGCTCTAGCATATATACAGTAACAGCATGAGGAGAATCTGATTCTTTACACCTAAAACAGAGAGTACTTTTAACACACTGCCTAAATCATATGATTTTTGAATTACTTTCTTGTTAAGCTAGATAGCAATCCCATGTAAGAGGCCCTTGTAAGTAGTTGTAATAACAATTTAATAATTATAAAAATGTTAATTTTAGCATTTTAGAATAGTAATGTTATGACAATAAAAATAATCTATAACTTATTAGAAATGTAACTACTCATATTAGTATGAATTCTTGTCAATAGGAATCGTATGAAGAGAAATGCATAAAACATTTGATAGTCCAACTTACTTTAGTTTTACAGTCACCTGTCTTGGTTTGTCAGTTATATCACAGATATCTCCATTCCCATAAAAATGTGACACCATCCTGAATCAGAGAAACACATCAGCTTTATTAAAGTAACACTTCACTAACTCAGAGTAATTGTAAGCATAAGATGAGATGAGCAGAGGAATCAGTTTTGCATTAGTTATAGACTCGTAAAGAGAATACAAAGCTCAGATACTTCATAGTGGTCTGGTTAAGAAAAATCTTTGAAGGACAGCCTCCCTCTTCACCTTGACCAGCCTGAGAAGAACCCAATGCAGTGTTTGGCAGATGTACTGTTCTGACCTGAGGTCACTGAGGCCCTTTAGGCTCATGATCAACTTTCACGCAATACAGCCTTAACTACCTAGAAGAATGAAAACTGGAGTTATCACCCAGAATTAGGAGTTTTATCAAAATAACCTTTCTATCTGAGAAACCTATTGGTATGGCAAAGTTAACATTTAATTACTGAGCATCTGGTCTTTATCATGAGTTCTTTATCTCTTTCCTTAAAGTCCGAGTGCTTACACCATTCCTTAGTTCAGGATACATATAACCTTCACTGTACTCTAGTGGCTTTAAATCTGCATTCATGAGGATTCTCCCTATGTAAGCAGTTAAATTTGTTTTTTTCTCCTATTAATTTGTCTAATGTTAATTTAAATACTTGACAAGAGTAAGAGTCTATAAGGGCAGGGGGAAATGTCTGCTCTGCCCCTGTATCTTTAACTTGCTTATTATTTCTTTGATACAAACAGTTGAGGTCAAATTGCTTAAAAGGAAAACTATTTCCCCAGCTCTACATATTGTTTGCTACTTTGCAGAACAGTTCTTTCTTCTTCCCAGCCTCCCTCCATCTCTGTCCGTTTTTTTTTTAAAAAAAAAAGATTTATTTATTTATTCATACAGAACTCGGGTAAAGGCCAGAGATGCGGAGGGTGAGAGGATTCACCAGACAGAATGGGGAGCAGAGCAGGCCGACTGCTGAAGTACACTGCTGAGGGGAGCAGTGGGCGGGTCAGGAGAGGACTGCGCACCATGTGGATCTCCTCCCGGGCAGGTGGGGATCGAACACATGCAGAGGTGGCTTAAGCTTCTTAGTGCAGTGCTTTAACCTGCTGCGCCACCAGGGAGGGCCCTCTGCCCCATTTTGTAAGTAGTACTGTAGTAGAGCATAGGTCAAGTGATACATTTCAATGAACAGAATCTGAAAAAGCTTTACTTTTGCTAATCTCACGTTCCTGTGTTTCAGTATTTGTTACACATGATACCATAAGCTATTTTCACATGTAACATATATAAGCATAAGAAAAACAATATACTGAATAGTATACTTTAATAGTGAAATGCCTACTTCTTCATTTTATTAAATTTATTTTGGTCAGCACACTGAAAACCAGGTTTCTCAATACCATCTATGCTAGTAAGAAGGGCAAAATTAGCACAATGGAAAAACAATGAATAATTTAAAATTCACTCAGTAAAAGCTAAAGCTTAGTTATTCTTGTGAAACAGGAGCTAAACTTACTTCTGTGATACCAATAAAATATATATGTATAGACCAAGACAGGTATGAAGAAGTTTTCTAAGATGTCACTGTTCAACTATTTTCAACCACTACCTCATGATGTTTAAATAATGAAGGGAAACACTAAAGTATTTTCAAGCAGAATTAAATAACTTATAAGAGATAAAAGATAAATAACCTGTAAGAGTTAAGAGATAAATAACTTATAAGTATTAAATAACTTGTAAGAGATAAGAGATAAACAGTACATGGGAAGAGGCAAATGCTTTCTAATAGCCTACAGTCAAACACCTGGAAATGACCCATTATCATGAACATAATCACCACTCATTATACCATTACACCACCACTGTTTAAGGCAGCCAGCCAGGGTTTACCCCATATGCTTTACAAGAATCACCTCATTTAAATGTCACAACAACCCTAAGAAGCACAAAAATGATAAGAAAAGTTAGGTGTAAGTTTTTTTTTCAGTTTGGGCAAAGTAATGAAGGATGGACCTCATCAAGATGTTCAGCGCTCTCTGGTGAATACTCTCATACCTTGCACCTCTGGCCTGCACCCCAGCCCCTGTATGAATCCCTGTATGAATAAATAAATAAACCTTTAACAAACAAACAAAAAACATATCCAGAGCAGGCATCAGAAGAACCCTCTGTGCAGGGGGAAATTACTGCTCTGTTGCATCTTTAACTTGTAATTATTTCATTGTATACAAAGAGTTTAAGGTTAAATTGCTTAAAAGAAAAAAGTTCTTTGCATTTCAAGGGGGTGGAGTGGGGAATGGGATCAAAAATGGGGGAGGGGGGAGTACACTGGACTATGGTGATGGCACATGGGTGAATTGGTGGAGGGAAGCCCACAGGGATTACAACTGAGATGGAAAATGGCACAAAATGATGTAAAAATAAACTATCCTATTATTAAAAAGAAAGAAAGAAAAAAAAAAGTTGTCTCTTAAAGTTAACGATATACAATTAATTTTGGCATGAGGATTACCCTGAACTGAGGGCAGGTGAGGGCATCTAGGTTCCTAAGAGTTTTACCACTCCCTTAATTATCTAAAAGAATGAAAACTGGGGGTATCACCCAGAATTGAGATTTTTATCAAAAGTAACATTTCTATTGGAGAAACTTATCTACATGGCAGGGGTACATCTAATCAGAGGGTAGATATCTGGTCATCTTCATGAGTTACTGTGTCCCACCCATGTGACCTCCTCATCTCTCCCTGAAGCTCCAGGCTCTTCTCTTATTCCTTAGCTCAGGATGCCCCAAAGTGAGTTTCCCACATGTATGTGATTGAAATTTGCTCTTTTCTTCTAATTGGTATTTGAACCCAGGTTCTCTCTTTCCAGAAACTGTGCTCTGACCTCCTATGACCTGTGTTGCTTCCCTAAGAAAACAAACTTAACCTGAAGGATGTCCCTGAAAAAACTGCCTAGAGATTTTATGAACTGTTTAAATTTCATGTGTTTCAATATTCTGAGTTTTTAATATTCTACTAATCAGATTCAATGGCAAGTAAAATTAATCTTTACCTGACTGTTTGGGTACCATCGTCTTGAAGGTGATAGGCTCTAGCAGTATTCTTCTTAGCCCATTCAATATGCTCTTCTTGGTTCCATGTCCCCACAACCACAGAGGTTTTACCACTATCCTTGTCCTAATGTATGAAAAAATATTTGATAATACATGCTTGACATCATCAAGTAGGCATTTATGCTAGTGACCTATAAGCTATGGTTTTTATCCTCATCAATAGCCTGGGTAGCTGTATTTCTATGTAGAATGCTAGTCAAACTGGAAGGGTAGAAATTTGAGCTCATTATCTTTGCTCTTTTGTTTGTTTTTTTCTGAAATAGGAAACTACTTTTTAGTCAGGCTAGCTCCAGATGTAGTTCTAGCTGACTTTTCTATTTTCCTTCCTCCCTTATATCTATTGGTGTGATCAATTTTTTTCTTCCTGGAGATGTTCCAGCTTCAGACTCTTCCCCTATACTTCTACTACCAACAGATCACCCTGGTTTAAGAATTCAAATCTCCTTACCTACATAACACAATCAAGTATTACTGTGTTTCTTAATTAAATCTCTGGTCTCTCTTACCTTGCAGTGACACTGAGCCTATCTTCATCTTACTTTACTCATTCAAATGCAAATCTTTAAGCTATTACTGGTTTTGCCAGTATTCATATGATGCAATACTCATTTTGGTATTGACATAAGACTATTCAGAAACCCCTTGCCCATTTCATTTCCCCCCTCTTTTAAACATTACATATTGGTCTCATCTGTGGGCTTCCTTTCTTTTTGTCCTTCCTCCTACTCTCTTTTCTTTTTAGATTTATTTATTTATGCATACAATAGCTGGGGTACAAGCCAGAGGGTATGTTTGTGTGTGTGTGTGGGGGGGGGGGTAAGAGATTTACCAGAAACAGTGTAGGGAACAGAACAGGCAGATCTATAGAAATCCACTGCTGAAGGGAGCTGTGGGTGAGACAAGAGAGGTCTGCTGTGCCATGTGGGTCACCCTCCTGGCAGGGGGTAGAACATACTAAAGTGGTTGTTGCACTTCAGTTAACCCATTGCACCACCAGGGAGGGCCCCAATAGTCTTAAAACTTATTTATTATTTTTTAAATTTTTTTATTTCCCTAGCTTAGAGTAATACTAGAATCTGGGTAGTTAAGAAACACGTTAATACAATAGACTTAGTAAACGTGGACATTTCTATTTTCTAGAATTTAAAGATACTTTGATGAGCATCTCCATATTAAAATCATCTCATAAAAAAAAAAACTTAAACCGCCCAGTGGTAAAATGATGTAAATGTTATTCTATACCTCATGGTATTGATGTACATGTTTGCCATAGCAGAACTCATATTTCCACCAGCCAACACCCTAAAGGAAAAAAAAAATCAATTACGTACAGAAAAAGGGGAGTTGGGAGTTGGGCCTCTCTCAATATTACCACATGATAGTGATGGCAACATATATGATTTTAAAGATAACTAATAGCAATTATGAGGTTGAAAATTACAAATTACTGAGAAGTGAAAAAAAAATTGCTAAATATGGAGAATAAATTGTACTTTCTTTGTAAAATAAAATAAAATGAAAATTCCCAATTGGAGAATTGGAAGAAAATCTCACCTTTGCAGATGTCAACTTAACTTTTAAACATGATTGCTATATAACTAAAACTGAGGTGATGCAATCATTGACAGCACCAACCAGAATTACAAATCAGTTACCTATTTTTTTTCTGTCAAGTACAGGTCAAGTTTTGGCTAGTGAATAAAGAAAACACTATCATGGCTCTGGGTTAGATTATATTAATAGGAAGATGCAGAGAGAAAATGTTTACTGGGAAGTTTACAGCATCCTATCATTTTTCTATAGACAAAAATTTTGTCCATTGCTGCTGATGCCCCTGGACTAAATAAGTGATATGTAAAAACTGTAAGATAAAAAAATCTAAATTTACTTCTCACCCCATGAAAGCAATATGAACCACTAAGGAACTCTTTTATGAGTTGATCATCTGTCAGTTTGGAAATGTGGGTTGTTCCAACAGTGAGCATTGGCTGAGAACCAACGGCAATAGGTTTGTGGATTGCAGGAAATCTCTCTTCTTTAGTTGACTGCAAATCTTCCTAAAATAAAATAGACATGTTTAAGGGCTTTTGTGCCATACTTATTTTTTTCCCCCAGTGATCACTTGTTACTATTTTCAAAACTATAAAAAAACTTGGAAAATAACAGTTGTCTACTCATTTTTAATGTACTTTTCATAAAATTAGTTTTGCAAAAGTTAATAGTATAAAATTCTAGACAAATGTTAGTTTCATCCATATTTAATTATAATTTTGTTTCATAATTGAGTACTGTTATTTGTTAGATTTTGTATCTTTGGAAAATTTGGTAAGTGTGGGTAAAGGAAGGATAAAAAGCAGAATAAAGAGTAACAAAGGGAGTGTGAATATGAATATTGGTTATAATATTCAAAATAGCAGGACTGAAGGAACCTGCAATTAGTAAGGACTAGACTGATGCCTATTAAGAAAGGAGTTGGGAAAAGCAGATTCACAGAGGTAGAGGTGATTCAATAGATTTTGACTAAGATTTAGAATGAAGATTTCACAAAGGAAAAAACTCTTGATCAATTCTTAAAATGTAATTAATTTGTGATTTATATGAACAACTGTAAATGTGTCTTATGTTTGTGTTTGCATATACATGTGAACCTGGGGCTCTCCTTCGTGGCTCAAGGGGTTGGAGTGCAGCACTATGAAGCTGTCTGTAGCCACTGCAGCGCAAGTTCTATCCAGCAGATCTCTCCTGACCCACCTACTGCTCCCCTTAGCAGTGCATTTCAGACATTCTTCCTATTTTGTTCCCCACTCTGTCTCTGTTTAATCCTCTCACCCTCATAAGTCTAGCCTCTACCTCAGCTCTTTTATGCATAAATGCATAGATAAATAAGTAAATCTTTAAAAAAATATGCATATGAACCTGAGGAATAAGAGCAAAGATGGGGGGGGGATGAACTGATATGTAAAACTAGAGAAATAAGCAGGTGGAAAACTATGTAGTAGAAAACTATATAATGCTAAGATTTTAGATATTATCTTTTATGAGTTTTAGACAGAGACACGAATGATGTAGTCATTTTTTTTAAAGATTTCTTTATTTATGCACACAGAGCTGGAGTACAGGCTGGAAGTGCAGGGGCAGTGAGAGGATTCACCAGAGACGGGGTGGGGACCAGAACAGGCCGACTGATGAAGTACACTGCTGATGGGAGTAGTGGGCGGGTCAGGAGAGACGCTGCCACGCCATGTGGACCATCTCTGGGGTGGGGATCGAACTCATGCTGAAGTGGCTTCAGCTTCTTAGTGCTGTGCTGTAACCCGCTGTGCCACCAGGGAGGGCCCATGTTCATATATATATATATATATATATTTTAAAGATTTATTTATTTGTGCATACAGAACTGGGGTACAGGCCAGAGGCTCAGGGGGTGGTGAGAGGCTTCACCAGAGACAGAAGGGGGAGCAGAACAGGCAGATTGACGAAGTACACTGCTGAGGGGAGCAGCAGGCGGGCCAGGAGAGGTCTGCTGCGCCCATGGTCATATTTTTAAGCAATTACCTTATTAGTGGCAGGGAACAGGAATAGTTGGCAAATCTGAAGGTGGGGAGACAACTTCAGAATTGTAGTAACCCAAGTAAGAGAATCTAAGTAAGGGAGTACAGAGGTAGGCTGGAGAGAAGACAGCTAAGCAAGAGATTAATGAGTTAGATTTGATTGGTTAACTAGGTGCTGACAGTGACTGGAGAACTGAGGAAATAAAAATCTAATTATAATTGAATAAAATAATAAAAAAATTTAAAGATAAAAGGGTTTCAAGTAAATTTGGAGCAGATGTTATCTCCTTTTTTCATCTGCTCTTGTTATTGACCATTTATACAAAGTTAAGGAAGAGCAAAGACTGTCAAAATGATTTCTTACTTTTGAAAGAATCTTGAATTTTATGTATGACTCTTACTATATTCAAAGACCTATGGTAAGGTTAGTGAAGAAAAAGAATAATGCTGCATATTGAAAACTGCAGCAAGATAAGGGAAAGAGGTAGGAAGAAGAGAAGCAATGCATTCATTACTGCTCCTTAAAATGCAAATATAAATTTTTAAAAGCTATGTGTAATAAACTATATTTAGCAAATTCTGAAATGAGGGTGATCAGTTTAAGTAATGTTCATCTTCTAGTATTAAGATTTTTATATAATCATGTATTTACAAGGATTCTAAATATTTTGAAAGCATTATCATTTGTAGTTTAAATTGGTACTTTTCCTTGAAAAGTAATTATGCTGGGATTTAAGAAGCTCATTTTGATAAAGCTGGCTTTTGAATATCTGTCAATAAATTACAATCAAGGACAAGACCAGAAAATAATTCCAGTTTTAACTCTTTTTTTTTTAAAGTGCGGGTAGAGTCAACTTTTTTTTAATTTTTAAGATTTTATTTATTTATGCATACAGAAATGGGGTAAATGCCAGAGGTGCTGGAGTGGTGAGAGGATTCACCAGATTCAGAATGGGGAGCAGAACAGGTAGATTAAGGAAGACACTGCTGAGGGGAGCAGTGGGTGAGACAGGAGAGATCCATGATACCCTGTGGATCATCTCCCAGGTGGAGATTGAAATTGCATAGAAGTCATTGTGGCTAGCTTCACAGTGCTGTGCTTTAGCAGTGCTGTGTTTTAACTTGCTGCACTACCAGAAAGGACCCTACAATGTATTTCTTTAGAGGCTTAACTGGGAATCCTAGTCACTGGGTAAAAATCAAAACTACCTGAATAGGAAGTCAAACCTTAAAATATTATGTAGTCATGAGTATAAGACAATGCTAAGGGTTTCTGGGTAGGAAAAGGATTAATAGAATTGGAATTTAAAGTTTACATGAGGAAAATAAGTTACTACTACTTACTACAGAAACAATTAACATTAACATATGTTGACATTTGAAAAATGGAGCACTGAGAAAATACCATTAAGATAATCCTCATAAAAAAAAAAGAAAAAAAAAAAAGAAAAAAAAGATAATTCTCATACCTCTTTATTTCTCCTAAAAGGCACTCTTAGTATTTCTTCCTGTTGTTCCAACTGTCTCAGGGTGAGGGGTTTAAATGGTGATCCTGGCAGTGATTGGCAAAAGATGTCATTCACAGGAGATGCTCTGAATCTATTCAATAAGGAAAAAGCAGTAAAGTTAAGAACAAAGACTTTAAGACATGAGTGCATTTTATGTTTGAAATATTAAACCCACATCCTACCTATACTTAGGATGACTGCACAAGAGTGGTGTCAAAATGACAACTTCATATTCACAAGTTGTAACTTCAGCAACTGAAAGAATTTCATGCTTAGATTCAGGATGACATATGTACATCACGGTACTTGATCTGGGCCGGTTCTGTTTCAAACTACAAGGTGTACCATTTCCCATTCCCACAGGATAGTAGGGTGTCATCTGACCTTCGATATTTTTAGTGGGAATCTTAAAAAGAAGAGTATAAGATAGACTTCTTATTAGAAATGGAGGCAGGGGTAAGGATGAGAGAAGAACTTATTCTGAAAGAAATAAATTATATTTTATCTATTAACTGAAAGAAACATTTCTGTAAGTTCTCCCTCAAATACTCTTTTGATTCGTTAAGTAATTATTTGATCAAACAAATATTTTTCGAGCTAGTTCAATACAACAAAAAGCAAACATTTTACTTGATTCTAAAATTAAAATTTGGGGGTGGGTGGGGAAAAAATAAAATTAAAATGTTCAGTATGTACATGTTATAATATTATGATTAATATGAACTATTTTTAAGTTTGAAAGAAAGATGAAGCTAAAATACAGTAATTCACTGTACTAATAAGAACTTTCTGAGTAAACCATCAGTAAATGGCTGCCTTAAGATTCTATATTTGCAGTTTGATTTGTTAAAAAGTGGGACTTCTTAGCAAAAACTATCTTCTAAATCAGGAATCTAAACATTGTACTGGTGGTCCATTAATCTGTTTATTCTTCACTGTTACTAACAGACATACAATATATAACCCCCCTATACATCTACTTAGTGTCAGCAGAGTACAAATGATGAATATTTCCATGAAATGGGGATTAAAGGAGTTCGCCTCAGCAGGTTTCTTAAGGAGTTAGCTCCCATATGCTTGTCTACATACACCCACATGAAAATCTAATGTGAACGTTTTACTATCTCCAAGCAAGCTCTTTGGAGGCAGGGAGCTCATCTTGTATCACTTTGGTACCCTGTCAGTGCCATGTCCAAACATGCAATAAATACATGTTTTCAGGGAAAAACACTTGAGATTTCCTAGATGCTATTTTCATGCCAGTCATTGGAATTAGAAAATACTATATTCAAATCCAAGCTTTGAATTTGCTATTTGTATGAGTTCTATGAAATTTCAATTTTTGTCATTTATAAAAGTTGAATAATACTATATAATCAAAGATTGTGGGGAGAATTAAGCATTACCTTTTGTCATATGCCTGGCACAGTATCTGGCTTATATTTGGGGCTCAATAAATGTTAGTTTTCTTCCCTTACCCTTTTCTTCCTCTTCCTTTATCATTTCACACTTTGAATTCCATCTTGCTATTCTCCAGAGCCACAGTAAATAAATATTTTATCTCAAAGGTAGTCTGTAAAATTAAAATCTTTTAAAACAGCAATGCTATGTGTCTATACTTAGCTTATCAAGCCCCCCTCCCGCGCCACCAAAGCCACCCTTTTAAGTTACAGGACTCTAAGAAATGTTTTAAAACTTTTGTTATTTCATTTTACTTCTAATAAAATTACCCTTATGATGAGAAATCAGGTATAGAAATATCCTCTGTCAATAAGCTATTCAAACCCTAAGGATATTTTTAGATTTCGGTAATTACTTGAATTACACGGGCATATAACATTAAAAAAAAAATACGATTAGGAATCATTCTTTTTAAATAATCCTATTTTCAGTCATTTATGAAGTGCCTACATTATGTATGGCACTCTGGTTTGCACTGCGGGATAAAGAGATAGAAGACAGTCCCTGCTTTTAAGATGCTTGCAGTCTGGCAGCTGTTCTGTACATATATAGGTTACTTGTTCTACACACAGGAGAAGGGGACCAAACAAAAGAAACAATGCAAATGCTCTTATAATTCCAACTTAGCGGGAATCAATGCTAAGCACAGAAGTTATACACAGTACTATTGCAGAAACTTTCCCAGATATATGTTTGCTAGTATTTTTGTGTGATCTTAAAATAAAAATATCAGTGTAGCTTTTCACAGAAAAGCTTAAATATGGTGAGTTTTCTTTGCCCTATTACTGTGAAGATTTTGAGAGTGAAAGAACATATTGTCTATCAATTAAGTTGTATGAATTCATGCTTCATTAACAATAGATGTTAAAAGTAAAAAATAACCATTTGTCACTTGCCTCTTTTGATTTTTCATTTTCTTCTGCTTCTTGTTCTACGGAATAATATAAAAGAGTAAGGTAAATGACAGAATTACCAGTGACATATATAAAATACAGACGACAAAGCTTCTAATAAATTTTTTAACCTTATAACTTCTAAAAAAGACACCAAACATACATAATTTTTATCACACTATTTTTAGTTTCCTTGAAATTATTTTGTTTGAAAAGTCAGTAATATTAAAATATATTTTTACCTAGGAAATATTCTAATTTCAGGCATAAAAATGGGCCACAATAATTTTTTTGGTTAGTATTTTTATCTCACTGAAAAAATTTATATTAGTAACTGATTTGAATATACAGTAGGTATATTTCACAATTTGGGGGATACATCTACATGTCTATATCCACATGTAAAAAGTGATTACATCAAGCAAAAATCTAGTACTATATAAAAATAATATCTTTATCTCACCATACTTGTTTCCAACCAAATCTTTTACATTCCAATGAGTACATTTATTTTAAAACTATAAAATCACTCTGTAGAAACAAACCTTTTTCAGACAGAAGGTTTTTAGCCAACATATTCCCAAGGTAGTATTCGTGAATATTTACTTTCTATATTAAAAAAATAAAAATGTAGTAAGTACTTTGCAAAATATTTTTCAAGAATAAAATTTTTCAAATATTAATCTCATTATTAAAGTTTTCAAAAGTTTCATATTTCACATTTTGAATAAAAACATACCTGACCACTTTCTTTCTCCTCATGGTACTGCCGAATGTGTTTTCCATGACATACCTCGTAAGTCCAATAGGACTCAATCTAAGAAAGATTGACGCATTTAAATAGCCAAACACCACAAAACTCAACTGAAGTACTTTCTGATAATGTAAGTAGATAAGTCAATTTCCCCAAGATTTAAGGTAAGTTTTTTGGACAGTTATTTGTCTCAGAAAAAGACAGTTTCTGAATTTTATTCATTGTTTTCACTAGTTGCACGTAGAAGTTCCACAAAGGAAGTACATTATGGAATACATCTGAATCTGAAATACTCACCTCGCTTGGGATAATTTTCTATACAGCCTAAGAAATAGTTAATTCACATTTTTAGTATTAAAATTGTACATAACAATACTTGTTGATCTGAACAATCATCAAAGATATTTGGAAATGGTATTTTTAAGATTAGTGTTATTAGGCTTCCACTGCATATACTATACTAGAACTTTATTAAACAAAATACTATTAACAATTTGATAGAACATAATAAAGAAAAAATGCTCAATGATTTCTAAGGTCATACTGGCTCTTGGAAATTTATTTTCTAGTTATATCAAGTAAACAAAAACAAATACATACTCTGTAGGAACAACTGCTTTGCTTAAATAGTGGCTCCAATAGCTCTCTTGGATTAGGGCCTTTATAATCCTTTTCTTCCTCCTAAGAAAGAACTGGAGTTTAATACTTGCTGTTATTCTAGAACTTCACCCAACTCTACTGACAGGATATTAATTCATTAAATCACATATGCTTGGAAATGAAAGGGGGAAATAAGTCAAAATCTTTAAAAAGATTCTTTGGTGTATGTCACTTCTTTAAAAAGAATTAAAGTATGAAATATCAAGACAGAATAATTTAGAAAACTAGTCAGATAATTTTTACATACCTATTACAGAATTTTCAAATATTTGCATCCAAACAAATTCTAGCTATTAAACTCTCAGAATAGTTAAAATGTGTATTATACATATCGGAAAGTTTTAAGGTATTTTTCAGCTTTCTGTATATTTTTACATTTCAGGTTGAATGTCATGTATGTGTTATTGCCATGTAGGTGTATTTGAATTCTGAATTTCAATATAAATGAAGTGGATAGCTACCTTTCACAGATTTCAAATCTGAACAAACATATGAAAGAACTCACTTATTTTAGTATTTCTAACTTAACAAATTATAAAAAATAGTATGTAGTTGTGTTACTAAATTTAATGAGTGAAGAAAATGAGTTTCAAATTTGTACAAGGTTTTACAACTAACTGTAGCCTACACCTCAGCCTCGTGGTTCCTAGACTGGTGTCATTCCCATTTGACCGTGCTGTCTTTCCTGTTTCATCTTAAAAGAAGACACTGCCTTGAAGGATCTATAGGGGGCAGGTAAGGGATTTTATGTAGAAGAAATGGGCATGAGCTAAGGTAGTGGGAGTTAGATACCTATATGTTTATTAGAAACTTTGACTAAAAAAATGTCACATACACATATAAAAATTATGTCTTGTTTCAAAACCTTTATTTCTTTAAAAGCAAGCAAGTGTGGCTTTAGTCTCCCAAAACAATAAATAGTTGCTGATTTTGCCAAGTTGAACTGTAAAGATCAATGACTTTGGGAATAATAAAGTGGTTATTTTTTATGGTAAAAACAGAATTATTGAGAAACCTGTCCATCAATTTTATTTTAAAGTATGCGGTTGCAATATGTTGATAGATTATCAATATATTTATAAAATTTTACCTCATCTCCACTTGTCACAAGGGGGAGAATGCATTTATACTTTTCCTTATGTGTGGTTGTCATGATGACATAATTATCTTCTTTATACAAAACCCCAGTTGTTGGCTAGAAACAGAACAAAACAACATATTACTTTCTCTAGCTATATTGTATCACACTAAGTAACTTATAGCCCTAGGTCAAACTAATTTACCATTTCGAGACAGGACTTTTAAAACATATTTCCAAAGGCAGGGAAATGATTTTACATAACTTTCAATGACAACAGGAGGATGACAAATTTCATTCTGGAGTTATAACAGAGAAAAATGATCAAAAATAAACTGTGGAGTAAAAAAAAAAAGAGTAATGTAATAAATTGAAGTTAAAGTATGGATTAAAAGGTACTGAGAGGCAATGAATGAGTATCACAGAATCCTACTCATTAACAATTATCACTCCTGTGAGAATCTATGGTACTTTAAGAACATACCCTTAAGTTTATTGTAAATTATTTTCTAAACACCTAAATGTAACTCCCATAAAACTAGCTTTGCTATCTAATGAGTCAATATTTGTATATATTGCATCATCACATAGAGTAACACAATTTTCTTTTGATTAACTTTTAAGATCTACTCTCTCAGCAACTTTTCAATATGCAATACAATATGAATAGTTGGCATGCTTTATATTTCACCACCATGAAATATTTATAATTGAAAGTTTGTAGTGTTTGAGCCCCCTCCCGGATTTTGAAGCCCCTCTCCCACTTTTGGCAACCAGAATTTGTTTGTTCTATGAATTTGATGGAAAAAATTCCATGTAAGTGAAATCATAACGTATTCAAGCAAATTCACAAATTAAGTATGACCACTTCGATTGACATTTAGCTATAAAGAAAACTGCTTTGTGATAGTAAACATGTCACTAACTAATAAGGTATTTTGCACAGTCATGATAATTCAACTTTCAGTCTTTCCCTTTTACTGTGAAACCACTAATATCTGGCTATCTTTGGCAAGAAAAGAATCATTAAGTACCTTTATTCTTTTCGTCACTGAACAATAACAGCTTTTAATCATAATACTACCTGATATTAATGTCATCTTAAACACAAATGCAAGTTATAGTAATGTTACCTGAAGACAATAAAACAACAAAAAAGCAGTAAGTACTAGCTATTTGCTATAATATACAATATTGTATATTATTATATTATTACACATTATTATATACAATAATGTTTAAAGTCCTTTACATTTAACAGTTTATTGGTCCTCACTTTACTGAAGAGGAAACCAAAATTCAGAGCTTAATTAATTTGCTCACATAGCTAACTAGAGAGCAGCACAGTCTAGAGATAAACTCAAATAGACTGTTGTGTTCTTAACTGTATTAACATACCTGAATCAGCTTTTGTTAACATTTTTAAAAATTACTTTATACTCTTCAATAATGGCACTGGACTGCTTTTTAAAAGAACTTTTTATAAACAGAAGAATAACAATCTTGTTTTATATAAATATTAAAGCAATATTAATGATTTGATAACATTTTAATTTAATGAAGCCAATCAAAGGGGACGGGCTACTTTAAGGTTAAGGAACTATAAAACTACTTTAGCATGGTAAATATTTCAATGTTTGTCATGAATCTAGAAGGATTTAGAGGATGAGAGACAGAATTTCTACCTTGGGAGGGGCTGTAAAATAAACTCAATGGTGCAACTTTTCAACATATAAACATGAATTGAAACACAGAGTTGGTCACTATAGTTCCCTAGTGTAGTGTTGGGGAGTTTCTGAGTGAGAATATATTCAATATAAATAACAGAACTAGAGAGAAAATTGATGTTGAGGTTTTGTTCTGGTGAAATCCATTAACTCTATGAAGTAAGGAGCAACTGAACACTATTGACGCATGTTATTTCAGAAGGAAAAAAACATATACAAAAACAAAATTAAAGCAAGAAACCAGTAAACATTTTATTTAACAATATGTACTCTTTTTTTGCTTAATACTTTTTCTAAGTTATATGACAGCAAGAATGTAAAGAATATGTATTGTTCTGATATGGGATGACAGGATATTAACTTAAAATGCAGAAGAATTTTGAAGTTAAAAAATCTTTTAATCTAGTCTAATTTCAGATGACAGAGGGACAGAAGCACTTATAGTTCATGCAGTTGCTTTGATATCTACAAATATCTATTTAAAACTATCTATTTAAAAACAAAAAAACCAGTGCCAGGTGAGGGCAGTGGTTTCAATTACATAAAGTGTAAAGACTTAAGATTATAAAAGGTTTAAAAAATATAAAATATATATATAAGTAATTAAGAAAATATCAAGAGACCAATTAAAATGACTCTTCTACCTTATTTTTGTGAGTCACAGATCTTTTGTGCACTCATAGAAGATCATCTCTTACATTTTTCCCAAAAGAAAAAAATACTCCCAAATCTTCAAATATGCCTATCTTAGATTATGTTGCAATGACAAATAAAATAATTAAAGTGAAATTTCTAAAAAAAATTGACAGGTAAAAGGTTGGTACAGTATACACTAAGACTTGAATATTTTTCTGAAATATTTTTCAATGGAGCAAACAGTGCCAGAAAGAAAAGTGAATGACAATTTGATGTAACCTCTAAAGAGGTTTGTTTTCATCCTCTACTTATGGGTAAGTTTTCAGAAACAGTAAGGATTTCTGCACATTAGCATTAATTAACACACACACACACACAGAGATGCAAGAGTAAAATATTTTAATGACCACATTATTCCAAGTGTGGTCTTGTAAACAATAACAAAGGTTGGATTAAAGTATATTCACTACATACCCACTGATATATATCTGATTTAAAATAAACTCTTAATATATCAATATGTCATAGCATAATGCAAAGAAAAACCTGACTTACTATAGAGAAATTTATTTAGATAAACTTGAGAACCATTTAACTACTAGTCTGGGAGAACTGAAAACAGAGATGTAGAAACAACCAGGTGTGAAATGCTAGCAAAAACCAGTATTTGCAAACTGTTGTGGTAATGATGACATCTATTATTCAAACCTTGAAACAAGGGCAATACTTATTAATGTTTCAATGAGCTACAATAAAATACTAAGCTGAATGATGCACGTAATGGGAATAAGGATATTATTAAAAAGTTTGCATTTTCTAGGACTTCAATTTGAAATAAATGAATTAATTACTATGCAATAAGTATCATAAAGGTAAAATTTTTATCGGTCTGCTACTGGAGAGGAAGACTTTTCAGTAGTCTACTCCCCAAAGGCAGAGAGACTGCAAATTTTCATTACTAATGGATTATAAGTTTTTCACTGCAGGAAAACTGATCCTAACATTTTATGTTTTAGTGTCTTAAATAATAATCGTAATACATCAGAACTGTAAGGATTTCTGCAGAGCGTAGTTAATATCTCCCAGCCTAACAGCCCAATTAGAACAACTTTAAAGGGAAAAGTGTTGTGCGTTGTGTGTGTGTGTGTGTACACATGTGTGTTTGCAAAGCGAATGTAAGAGAACTTGTATCTGTAGTAGAAATGGTTGTGTGGGTTGGGTGGTGTGTTAATACTGCAGGCGAAGGCTACCGGTAAAAGAAGAGCTGCGTGTGACTTTCCAAAGAGATGAATGTGTGCGCTCGGCGAGGTCGAGGTCTAAAAAAGCTTCTTCTATAGCGTGGCAGTCTTGGAAAGCGGATCCAGTGACAAAGATTTTGTAAGGGCGAGCAGGTGAGCGCCCTATCTCTATGCTGAACACAGACAGCCCATTTACACAAAGTGTTCGCCAGCACCCGCCGTATGAATGAACGCAGGGTAAATGAAGCTTTGGATTGGGGAAGGAGGCGTGCGCCAAACCAGGTTCTGCGGAAAAGCGTAGAGAACTAAGGAAAGGGGTCGAACGCTTAGTGTCAAAAGAAGAGAGATGGCTGCGGGGCTCGAGAAGGCACTGACCAGAGAGAACTCGGTGCCGGGCCAGTTGACTCGGAAAGGGATGTCATCGCTGAGCTGCGGGAGCGCTCGGCCTCCGCCTGACGCCTCCAGGAGGCCGCAGAGGACCAGCAACACCGGCCCGCCGGGGACCAGACTCCGCGCGCCGCCGCCTCCTTCCTCCATCCTCCGCCGCCGATTTCTCCAGCCGCCGCCACAACCTCCTCTACTCACAGAGGAGAGGAGGGGGAGGAGGAGGAGGCGGCGGCGGGACGACTAAGCGCCCGGGGAGCCTAGGACCCAACCGCCGCCACGTCTCCTTCCGGAGAGCTCGGCAACACCGCCCCCGCCCCCTTAGCCTCCGCCCCCGTTTCCGGGGCAGGCGGCACATCAACATCCGGGGCCTTCGAGCAGTCCGCCTACGGAAGCCGGGATACCGGCCGCGCGTCCCACGTTTCTCACTACCGCAGTCTACCGATTAAGATCGAACGCTGCGGCCGTACCGAGGGGCGCCCGGAGAGCGGGCCTTTGACCAGTCTTTTCGGGGGAGAAGTGTCGGCCCAGAGAACCGTGAGTTTGGTAGGCGGCGGCCGCTTCCTCCCGCCGCCCTCGCGACTCCGCAGCGGGTGGGCGGGGACTTGGCTCTGAGAGCGGGAAGGGGTGTGTGAGCCGGTGTCATTAGGTGAGACGGTTCCAGGTAGCGACGGTGGTGGTCCGTGCTCATCTACACCACTGCTGTGCTGTTTGTTTGTCTCTGCATATGGCGTCTGCACACTTCGTCTTTCCCGCCTGGAGCTTTTTTCCTCCTCTTGAGCTGTCGGTTCGGGACTTAGCAGCTGTTGCCTAACGCAGGGTATTTTGCTCAGCCTCTGCAGCCCTGGTTTAAGGGAAGACCTGAGCTGAGGAAACGTGCAGTCTCCCCCACCGTACTACTGTGATTCTCCATAGTTGGCATGGCAGACACTGCTCGTGGGATAAAGTGGTAGACATCGCAGACCCTAAATTTTTACCCCACTCGCGGCTCTGTCTTCTCAAGTCTGAAGTGTTTTAGGAAGGAAGATGATAGATTTCCTAAAGTGAGATTCAGAGCCGGGTGAATGTGAGGTTGTGAACTTCCCAGCGGTTAAGATACATCTGTCTGCATTACAAAGAAAAACAAAAAGTTTTGGCTTCTTCTCTCTCTCTAAAAAAAAAAAAGCTACCGTTTTAATTTCCAATATACTGACATGCATTATATATATAGTCTATACTATATATAATCCATACACATACATCACCTTTTCTCTCGCTGGTAAGTGGGAAAGGCTAGACTTTGCTCTCTTCTAATGACCATTTCCCTCATCCCTTTTAAACCAAATTCAAAAGGAAGAGCAGTCCATTTTATTTTTTAACCATTTTTTGAAACACGAGGAATCCAGTGTCAAAGAAAATGATTTTATTCCCGAATTTGCTTTTCATTCATTCATTTACCTAGTGTATATAATAATTAATATTAATACTTAATTTCTGAAATATGCCAGGCCACTGAAATTGGTAAAATGGCAAATAAACAGCTCTTTGTCTTCTGTTTCCCACTGTCTGGGAATAGCAATCGCAATCTATATGGTTGTCACAGTAGTTAAACTTTATAAATTATTTACAGTCAGCTAGGCACTAGTCTAAGTACTTTATATATTCTGCGGCACACTAGAGGATTGTTAGAATGGAAATACAAAGAAGGAAATGAGGCACTCAGATTTGGTCAGGGAAAGCTTTCCGGAAAGGTGACATTAGAACTGGGCTTTAAGAATTTATAGGAGTTTATCAGGCAGGTGGGGAAGTGCATTTCAAATGTAATTCTTATAGATGGTCCATTAGAGCATTTTGATGTGGTTCGAGGACAGAGTGGGTTGGATCATTAGCAGGAGTGATGGAGGAACAGAAGTGGTTAGTTCAGGGAAAGTTGCATATACCTGCAGAAGTGTTGTGTTTGAGCTTTATCCAATAGATGGGATTGTAGACTTTTTCAGTGGAATCATCTGAGGTGACGTATTTTTTAAGTATATAAAGATTAATTCAAAATGGATTAAATATTTAAATGAGTAACAAAGAAAGTAGTAGAAAAATTGAAAAATCTTGGTAATATAGGAAATCATGAAGTCATAGCCCTGCGTTAGTGTTTGGAGAGCCCTAGGAAAGAATCTGCCTCAATAGAGCTTATTTTCAAGTAAGGAGAGTATTCAAATAAATAATAGGATAATTTCTGGTAGAATAAAATGCGTGCATAGAAACTTGGTTTGTAAAGATAATACTTTTGGAGTGTTCTGCTTAGGTAGATGGTAAGAACTGACACTCGAGCTGTGACTTTAAGTGATGAGGAAGGCCCCCAGAAATTTCCATGAGGAGGATCTCAGGTAGGGATGAGCTTGATGTATTGGAGAGACAGAAAGCAAGCCATTGTGACTGGAGTGTAAGGAAAGTGGAAGAATATCACATTTCAGAGGCTGGAAGAGGCCAGCTGAACACATGGCATTAGGCACAAGAGTGACATGGCCAGATATAGATTCATGAGGATCATTATGGCGGTTGTATGGAAATTTGGTTATAGGTGACGTTAAGGCTGAATTGTGTTCCCCAAATAGAAGTGACATCTTAATACTTGTTATTTGTGATTGTGAACTAACTTGGAAACAAGGTCTTTACAGATGTAGCCAAGTTAATCTGTCATATTGAATTAAGGTCATCTTGAATTAGGGTGGAATTAATAAATGTCTTTACAAGAAGAGGGTAATTTGGACATGTAGTTAGGTTCACTGAGAAAGTGCTTTGTGAAGATAGAGGTAGAGATTAAAGTAATATGTTTATAGGCCTAGGAAAATTGAAAAACCTCCAGAAGTTAAGAAGAGGTAGGTAGTATTTTCCCCTTGAAATTTCAGGTGCACGAGGTCCTTGATTTTAGATTGTTTGCTTTCAGAACTGTGAAACTGCTTTAAGTTATCTAGTTTTTAGTAATTAGCTATGGCAGTCCTAGGATATTAATACTGTGGGAAAGTATAGTAACAGGGACACCACTTAGGAAGCTGACAGCAATGGAGATGGGAAAAAGTGACAGGATTTGTTTATATTTATCAGATAGAGCAATTAGAACTTGCTGAAGATCAGATATAGCATTTTCTTAAAGACATCAACTAATGATGATGCCTGCACATTTTTGATGAGTGACGGATGGTGTAATTTTCACAGTGAAGACTGATAATTTACTGAAAGAGGATAAACAGCATGTAGACTGAAGGGAATCATGTTTTTATTTGTTTGCTTTTTTATTTTGAAGTAATTTGAAATTTATGTAAAAATTGCTGGAATCAGGGCCTTCGTGATAGCACAAGGGGTTAAGTAAGTCTCAGCACAATGAAGCTATAGGCAGTCTCTGCAGTGTGAGTTGGAATTCTAGCCAGGGAGCTGACCTACATGGCACAGCAGACCTCTTCTGTCTCACCCACTGCTCTCCTCAGCAGTGTATTTTGGTCAGTATGTCTTGTTCTGCTCTCCCTATTCGATCTCTGTTGAATCTTCTCACCCTCACACCCCTACACCTCTGTCCTATACCCCAGTTCTTGGATGCATAAGTAAAATAAATTTAAAAAAATTGCCAGAATCAAACCCAGATTCCCTGATGTTTTGATTATGGTAATAACAATTTACAATATTAATCATTATCATTACCAAGGATCCTATTTTGGATATACTAGGTTTTAGATATAAATTGGATATCTAAGAGCAGCTGATCAATTGTTTAAATAAGTCTGAAGCTGAAGGGGAAGTCAGGTGGAGTTGTAAACTTAGTTTTATTGGCATGTAGATGTAATTAAATCTTGGTACTGGCTGAGATTATGTAGGAGAAAAAGGAGGATGTTAAAGGGAAGACACAAGTTAACAAAAAGGAGTGAAAAGGTATATTCAGTATAGTAGAAAGAAAATTAGGGAAGGGAGTTATGAAGAAAGTCAAGAGAAAGCAATGTTTCACAAAGGAGGGAATGACCTGCTAGCTCAATCAGTGCTGAAAAGTTTGCAAGATGAGGGTTAGGAAGTAACTATTGGATTTGGCAGCATGAAGGACTAGAGAAAAATGGGGCTTGATGGTATTAGGCTGAAGTGGAAGACTTCCATATATATTGAAATAAAAATGATGTACTTTTGTACTTTAACAGATTGTCAAGCCTACCATTTGGAATTTTGGGCAAGATAATCCTGTTTTGAAGGATATCCTGTGCATTGTAAGATGTTTAATAGTACTCCTGGCTTGTGTCCATGAGATGCTAGTAAACTGCCCCTGTGTTACCATTTGTGACAACCAAAAATATCTGCCAACGTTTCTAAATGTCCCTTGGCATACAAAATGATCTATGATTGAGAAATCATTGATTTGACTTTTAAATGAAAAGCATGAATGTTAGTGATGAATTTTTAGGCATTAATTTACCAAGGGGGAAGATGTTAAGGAGTGAACAGCACTCCAAAACTTTTTGCAATGTGGTGAGTATTTTTTTGCCTATAATGCAGGTGGTCTTCTTTGTTTCATATCTTTGATGATATATACTTAATCTTGACTTTTGCTGATGTTACTATTATGTACATTGGTTATCATCATAGAGAATTTTTTTTTTAAATATGAAGATACTTCACTATTTTTTTACAACGTATTAGTTAATATTCCAGTTTGCATTTTCTCAATAGCAAATAAAACACAGGGTAACATTTCTCTTGATTCTGGAGTACCTTGATATCTGTCTTTTTGAGGGTACAGTTTCTTAAGACACCTATGCTACTATCCACAAGGATATCAGCAGTGATTAAAGAACATTTTGCTAAGTTTTTGTTTTTTCTTGCTCAAAGTTTTCACCTTTTTCTTCTAGTCTGTTTTTCAGCATTTGCTATTTCTTCATCATGGATAGGATTTGGTTTTGTGTGTTCATATGGAATAGCTAGAGATGGATGGTAGCATACTATCATCCTTCTCAAGTGTCAAAGCAAGCTATACTTTGCAATGGTATTTATCTGGAAGAGAGAAGTATGTAGATTTATGACAAAATATAAAGCTCTGTTTCAAAGTGGAAATAAAAGTTTTAGGATAGTTCTAAAACACTTATGCTACTGCTGCTAGTACCAGGGTGAATCAAGAACCTATTTTTGTTCCTGGACAGGTTGGCAAGACCACCATCTTATCTCAACCCATAGAGGATTTTGGATCAAAATTTGTCCAGAACCTGTATTAACCTCACCACAACTTAGGAGTTCTTATTTTCAAAAAATGCTATTTATGTAAAAGTATCTTTTTCTCATATAAATGAGGGACAGAATACACAACTTAAAATTTTCTGCATTTTAGGTTTCCAGAAAACTACTTTCTGCATATGAAGGCGTTTTAATACAGCAATTTTCAGTTAACTGTATGTAGAACTAGAGATTTGGGAAAGATCAAGAAAGTTGTGCAGTTTCATCCAACAAATATGGCTTGGAGGCACTAAAGATTATAGACTATATCTATAACTCAGCTATAGATTAAGTCCATCAAAACATTACCACCTAGAAAGGGATATGTGACTTACAGTAAAAGTAAGGAGTGTTTTTTTTTTTTTTTAAAAGATTTATTTATTTGTACATACAGAACCGGGGTACAGGCTAGAGGCTCAGGGGTGGTGAGAGGCTTCACCAGAGACAGAGTGGGGAGCAGAACAGGCAGATCGACGAAGTACACTGCTGAGGGGAGCAGCGGGTGGGTCAGGAGAGGTCTGCCACGCCATGTGGTCACCTCTGGGGCAGGCGGGGATTGAACTCATGCGGAAGTGGCTTTAGCTTCTCAGTGCAGTGCTTTAACCCGCTGCGCCACAAGGGAGGGCCCAGTAAGGAGTGTTTTAAGGGGATACTGCACAGATAAAGTATTGTAGATAATTAAAGGGAGGAGGTGATAAGTGCAAGGGATGGGAGGTAGGAAGAGTAGAAATAAACAAAGCAGTCTTAGGCATTTGTATAGGACCTTACCAAATGATATATTTTTATAGAACTTGACAGGCTTATTTTAAGTGGATGAAAGAACATGTGTCCATAATACATAAAGCAATCAAAAGTAAATGGTTTGGCTATCGGCAGGGGGCTCAGGAATGACATAAAGAAGTTTAATATGTGACAAGGGTGATATTTCACTTTCACAGGGAAAGGTACATTAATAAGTGCTGCTGCTAGTGTCATTTGCTATCTCTTCATCTATAATAAATAAAAGTAATCCCCTTTATCATAAAATAATTTATAGAATATATATATAAAGAAGCTAGAATATTTTTGTAGTTGGAGATGACCTTTTTCAGCAAGAGAGGAAGTCCAGGTACTGTAATAGGAAAGATAGATCTGCTCTAATAAACTTTTAGATGAGTAATTTTTATTAAAGATGAAATGTGCAAACCTTTGACCTAGTGACATTTGTTGTGTGTGCGCTATTGCTGTTAAAAGCAAAAGTCCTGATATGTAAAGGTATATTGAAAGACATATTAATGATGCATTATCTATAGTGGCCTAAACCCCTGATTTTTCTTGGGTAGCTGATTTTCCAACAATAAGGCAAACTAAAAGAATAATGAGGTGTTTAGGAGTTCACGAGTTCTGAGCTGGAGATTGAGATTTATTATGTACTCTATTAAGATATGTATGTACTGGTATTCTTTTAAGTACTTAATTAAAACAAACTTTTAAATTGATTTGTTCCTCCAAGTATATAGTAAACGTCTGTTCAACAATATCTACATGATTGTCATACCTGGGCCTAGTAAGAAAAGAAGTAAATCCAAAACGAGGCACATTGTATAGGACATTTGGTTTGGAGTTTGAAAAAGACATTGATTCAGAATAAGTAGATTTCAGAATAAGCAAGCATTTGCTGGCTGTCTCAATGGTCTCTTTTAAACTATAACAGTGCCCCTTTGCTATTGATTTTAAGGTTTACTTTATTTTCTTTACACCCAGTAAATAAAGTAACTGTGTCAAATACTTATATGACAGAAAATCTACTATAAGATTCAATTTCGTAAGTCTTCAAATAGAATGTGTTAGTACGACAACTGGTCTATGGTCATAACGCTGGTAAGCAGTGAAAATGGACATTAAACCTCAAGTAGTTTGTCCTCAGAAGCCATTCTCTTACCTACATCTCAGTGCTGCCATTTTATCATCAAATGAGTTAACTGTATGTGAAACTTTTTTTTAGCATAATGCATGGTATTTGTTATATAATACATGTAGCATTTACTATCATCATTTCAATATTCTGTAATTACTACTGTATGTTTGTAACGTCTGCATTTTATGACTTCATTTGGATCCTCTATGCTTTGCTTATAGGTTTTTTTTTTTAATTTTATTTAAAATATATTTTACTTTTTTTTTGTACAATGCTTGCTTTTTCTTTTTAGGTGTAGTCCCTGCAAAATTCCCATCTCCAATTTACCTGTGCACCATCACCATAGTCACTTGTGTGAGAACACATTCCTTCCCCTGTTCTAACCCCTCTCTTCCTCCCCTGCAGAGGGCTCTGATTAATAGTTGCCTGTTAATTTTTTTATTTATTGTAATTTTTTTCCTGGTCCCTGCATTCTTCCTATGAGTGAAACCATCTTGATATTTTTCTTTTCCTTCTGGTTTATGTCTCTGAGGATAATTCCTTCCAGTTCCATCCATTTTGCTGCAAATGGCTTGAGTTTATCTTTGATTGCTAAATAGTATTCCATTGCATATATATATATACCACATATTCTTGACCCAGTCATCTATTTTTGGGCATTTGGGTTGTTTCCATTATTTACCTATTGTAAATAGTGCTGCGGTGAACATGGGGTGCAGGTATCCTTTTGAATTAATGTTTTTATATTCTTTGGGTAGATACCTAAGAGTGGAATTGCTAGATCACATGGAAGCTCCATTTTTAGTAGCTTGAGGAACCTCTGCACAGCTTTCCATAGTGGTTGTACCAGTTTGCATTCCCACCAGCAGTGTAGGAGAGTTCCTTTTTCTCTACATCCTTGCCAACACTTGTTTCCTCTTTTTAGTATGTGCCATTCTTACTGGTATATATAGGTTGATTCTTAAACACTGACAACCCCCTAAACTGTTTACAATATTGTAAGTATGCAGACATTATTCACTTATAAAACCAAGAGGTGAAATTTGAAATGCAGAAAAACATGATTCTTTTATTGTGCCATTTGAAACACCCCCTTTATCTTCCTTTAATAGTTCTATATTGGCTAAAATGAATCTTTGTCTTTGAAGATACATTTTAAACTCTGAAATATGTAAGATGCTTCCCAAATCTGTCCCATATTCTGCTTTTTGAGTGGTATTACCTCTCTGGGCTAGGTATATAGTGCTATTTTTCCACTTTGTTGCGAGTAAAATCTCAAGGTTTTTTTTTTTTCTTTATAGAAATTGACATAGAGCGGGTAATGTAATGTTTACAGGCCTTACATATCTAAAATTGCATTTACTTTGCTTTTTCATTTATTCAAGTTTGTGAATAAAATTTGTAATGGAAAAATCATTGTTCTACTCAAAACTGAAACCATTGTTCCTTCAGAGTATCTGTTAGTTATTTATAGTATAATGAGTGTGAGTCTCCTTTTTTGTAAATGATCTTTTTCCCCTAAAAAAAATTTCATTAGGCACTTTTTGTTATTACTGGATTTATGATATTTTAGAGGACATATCTAGGTGTGGTTCTATTTTCATTTATCTTTTTCATAGTATTCTATGAGTACTTCTGGGCCATTTTCTTTTTTTTTACAAGATTATTTTATTAAGGTAACATTTGCAACACTGTAAGTGATTTCGGGTAGAGGTACACACCCCTTCAAATGTATATAACCATACCAGGTCAATCATGAAAGCACCAATAATCCTTAAGCTTCTTCTCCCCCCAAACTTCTCTAGTAACCTCAGTTTTGTAGTCAGGTTCCAAGGGTTTGGTTGGGTTTTGTTTGTTTCTTTCTTCATATTTTACATGAGTGAACATCATCAGTATTTGTCTTTCTCTTTCTGACATATTTTCTTAGCATAATCTCCAGTTCTTCCCATGTTGTTGAAAATGGCAAGATCTCATTTTTTTATTTATAGCTGGTAATATTACTTTGTTATTATAGCCCATTTTCTTTGTCTAGTCTACTCATTTTAAATTGAGCACTTAGAAAATGTCAAAAAATACTTAAAATAGTTACACATAGCTGAGTAGATTACCAAGATGTTAACAGAAAATTAAAAAATATGAAAAAAAAGGATTACTGTTTCTAGTAGGTAGGGTAATTTTATTTTATGTGAAAAAATTCTCTAATTATTGGTCTCATCTGGATCTGAGGAGATTTTATTGTTTCATAGTAGATTTAATGTGATGCTCATAGTTTTTTATGTTGAGATGTACAGGGACTGTTCTACTAAGAATAAGTCACCTGTAATCAGAAAAAAATCAGTCAGAATCAGGGTAAGTTTATGTAATTAATTACATGTATGTTTTCACTGGGAGTAACATCATGAATACTATTTAGGAGATACTTCTGTCTAGGTGATGACAAAGAAGGGGATAAGCCATATAGTAGATCAGACACTGCTACTTAAAAAATTTCAAGCATTAATAATTTCATTATATATATTTCTTTTGGTTTGTAACATCAGAAAGTCCATCTTTCAAGTTTTAGTGTAAGATTAATACAAAGTCAAGGAAAAACAACATTGTTAATGATTGTGATTTGTGTAATGTATTTTGTGCTTTTCTATCTTAAAGAGTTTTACATGTAGAAAATGCATTTATTTGAAGAAGAGCTATTGTATAATATAATCATAAGGAAATATTAATATTAAAAATGCCAAGTTTTTTGGTTTAAATTTGAAATTACAATCAAGATTGAAATCTGCCTGTATTACTATGTATTTCTAGTTATACATAATTTTAAGTTCTAATTTAAGCCATGGTTACAGATTTATTGTTAAGTATACTGAAGATATAACCTTATATTTATTGAACTTTTAGTTTAATTCTTTACAACTTCAAAATAGTATTGTGATGTGAAACAACAGAATTTTACTCTGATTAAATTTCATATTTTACTCCAGTAAAAACAAGCTCTGAACTGAGTCCATTGTATTTTTCTCCAGAGAACTAATTTCTCATAAGCAAATATTCAGTATATATATTAGGAAATCATAATATTATTAAAACTTGAATTTTTCTTGTACTAGTCCTTAGTATTCTGAATATATTTCAGGACAGTTGGAATTAAACTAAATTTTATGACATCTACACTGTATTAGAGAAAAATAAGATCTTAAACACATTTTCATATCATACTGTTGTTGTGCAGTGAATCTCTTTGCTGAAGGAGCTCTCCTTATTTGGAAAAGTCAGTATTGGGTCTTTATATGCAGTTGAGGTTTGGTTTTCTTTCTAAACGTTCCTTTACTAATTTTTCCAAAGAGAAGAGATGCTCATCTGCATCTTCTGGCACAAGGTTTCTAATAGAATTTGCAAGTTCAAAAAGATACTCTGTATTTCTTCCGCTAGGACCAGCTGCATTAAAAATTTGTTCAGCAATGTCTTCCAGAGGTGCAGGACCGAGATAATTAGGATTATCACATGTTCCAATATATAACAACACACTGAATGGTTTCGTTGTGGGATCTTTCGGATAAAAAATAACTGTTGTTGTCATATAGCCGCCTTTCTCTCTGAAGTCAAGGTATGCTTTTACTTCTTCTTCCTTTCCTACTGGCAATCTATAAGCAACACCCCACACACAGCCCTGTGAAAAATGAAAAGGATATATCATTTCATTGTACAAGGCTAAATAAAGTGAAGACATACTGCAGTGTGATCTAAGAAAATATCTTGTATATTCTTAGAAAAATCAAGGTAGTTTTCTTTACTTAAGTATACTTATGTATATACTTAACTGTAATGACAGTTAACATTTAAAATTCTTCAATTGAATATATTTCCTGTGTCAGAAACATGCCAGAATATTTATCTTTTCATAAAATTTAAAAATTAGGCCTTTTTCTTTTAAATGAATAGGACTGAAATGAATAATAATATCTTCACTTAATCATTTAAAATATGGTGGTAAAGCTTTAAGCATTCATTATTTTACATACTGGTTTTCTCTTGTTTGCAGAGAGGGTTCTATTATTTTAAAAGCTCTCTAACAAAATAATCACCTATTTAAGCCTCATTTTATTTGTTCATTTCTTTTTTTTTTTTTATTAAAAAGTTTATTTTTACATCATTTTTCACATTTTTTTTTTTCATCTCAATTGTAATCCCCACGGGTTTCCCATCACCAAATCACCCCTGTGCCACCACCATAGTTTCTAAACTCCTATGTAAATTACTCTATCCAGAATACTAAAAGAGCTCATGAACAAAAAGTTGGTAAAAACAATATACTTTAGCTGTAAAGCACTTAGAGTTAAAATTTTTAACAAGTTATCTGCAGTATAGCTAGACTTAGTTTGTAATAAAGAATTTCTAGTTTTTTGAACACCCTTTAATTATTAAATATGTAGATATAAACATATTCTTGAATGAATTAAAATTCTATAGAAACCAAGTGTCATTAGTTAACTGTTTAATTTGGAATTACAGTTATCATTTGAAGTCATTTTTGTAGGTTTTCTTCTGAATCTAAATTATGAAAATATTTCTGTCTTTATCATTATCATCTGTGGTGTTTTAGCTGCTTGCTGTTTGTATATCTTTTCAAAAGGAAAATCTTTAACTTCATAATATAAAATTTTGAATCTAAACCCCAATGAAGTGGGTATTTTTGAAATGTTAATATTTCAGTATCTTGAAATATTAAAATATTTTAGAAGGCCCTCCCTGGTGGTGCACCAGTTAGGACGCAGCACTGCAAGCTAGCTACAGCCACTTCAGTGCAAGTTCGATTCTCAGCCTGGGAGGTGACCCCATGGTGATCCCCATGGCGCAGCAGATCTCTCCTGTCGGGGGCCCCCTGCTCCACTCAGCTGCGTACTTCCTTCATCTGCCTATTCTGCTCCCACACACTGGTGATCCTCTCACTGCCCCTGCACCTCTGGCCTGTACCCCAGTTCTGTATAAATAAATAAATCTTTAAGAAAATATTTTAGAAACAGAGCTATTGGGTAAATAAAAGTTTTTTATTGTTACATGTATGTTTAAAAACCTGTTCTGCCTTTTATATTAGGCAGTAAAGAAAGTAAGATTTCCTGACTGGGATTTCTACTGTTAGATTCATAACACATTTGAGGAGAGCTTTAAAGATTCCATTTGATTAGTGGTAGTCTGGTTGACTGTCAGTTTCAGCAGGGTATCACACAATTCTCAATCAATAAATCCATTAAGAAAAAAAGTTGTCTACTTTGCATTCTACACTCCAATTTTCTCCACTGGCCTCAATTCTACAAACATGAAAAGAAACGCAACAGAGATAGAATTCTAGAGCTAGTGCAATTAGAATTTTCTGTGATAATTAGTAATGAAATTTCATTGATTATTAAATCTGAGAAACATCTCAAAATTTGCTGTAATTAAAGGCTACAAAAATGAATAATTATACCATACCCCAGGATCTTCAACAAGAGTCACCACTCTTCCAGGCTGTTTTTAAATGGGGAAAAAAAAAATTCTGAGTTAAAAGTTCATTAAGCACTAGCAACTTATATTGATATGGGATGTTTTAACTTCATTTGCTCATATTAAACACTTTCTTAATAGATAAATTTTAAAGTGAACTAAATACTGTGACCTACTTATTACCAATCTTGTCCTTTCTAAGATTCCTTTGGATGAGTATGTATTACATATACATGTTTATTTAAAATGGATATATTTAAAAAACACACCAGTGACTAAAGCTTTTCTAAAATGAAAGACAAAAGAAGAAAATTGTAAATAAAACTTTTAGTTACCCCCCCTTCCACCATGGGGAAAATGATTTTATAGTTCTATTATGGAACAAAACATGACATTCCAGAGTATATTCCTGTATAAAAGTGTTTCTTGAACTTTAGTATAGATCAGAATTACTAAGAGTGCCTGATAAATATTTACTTCGAGGTCTCATTCCCAGAGTTTCTTATTCTGTAGGTCTAGAGTTGTCTCAATTTTCTGTTTTAATACAATAAGATTCCTACTTGGCACCAAGGGCTATGTACCTACTGACATGTTAACATCTTGAGAATGTTGAGTTATAAACTACACTTTTACCCATTTGTGTGTCTCTTGTTCAGGAGCAAGTAACCCTTCAATCATTCAGATGTTTGTGTCACTTTTGTTACTTCATTCTAGTTTTTGTCCATTTGTATAAATTATAATCACATACACATCAGATTTTGGTTTGTTTCTTGTTTCATTGTATTTTCTTGTTTCATATTATACAATGGCTGTATAATATTCTATCATAAATTGTGATTTGTCTTCTATTAAAGATAATGATATAATGAAGATATATATTGTACTCGGTTACATAGGTATGACCATATTATTTTCAGTTTCAGTACAAATTAGGAGCTATTTTATTGTGTCAGTGAGAAGACAACCTTAACTCTTGCTTTGAAGAACTTACATTGTAAATTTTGGAATATGAACAGATGAAATAGAGAATATGTAAGATCTAAGATGTATGGCATTTATTAAGTGCAGGAAGAATTTTGAGTCTTAGGTGGGCAGAAAGAAAAACAAAGTTTGGCAAAAAGCACCATGAGGTGTGATTTATGAATGAGGGCCTAGCCTAGATAGTAGGTCTACACCAGGCCAAATGTCTTACCTTTAGGGATGGTTCCCCATGGAGGAGAAAGGCAACTGAATAAATAGAATTAGAGTCAGATTTAAAATGCCAGAATGCAGCTGAAATTAGCAGACAATGGAGTTGAAATCAGAGAGTATTAGAAAAAGGAAAGCTACTAAAATTTGGGAGAAGTAGAAATAAAGAGCAACTGTAGCACTTAAGTAATAGGGAACTGGCATGTTCAAGGAAGTTCACTGGGGAGGTTGATAATGTGTGTGCAGTAAGAGGTTTGAATGGAAGGAGGTATTTGCTGAGTAAGAAATGTTTAAGGTCCGGGTGATAAGTCCTATACTCCATCTGTCCTTGCCTTACATCCTGCCCAGTCACCCAATTCTGTAGGTAAACTCTGGCTTCTGACTACCAGCTGAATCTGCTTCTTCCTTAAGACGCTCACTGCCCATCTCTAGCTTATAGTTTCCCTTAATTTCAGTACTATTGATATGATGACTTTCTAGTGCAAAAACATTAGGCCACACACTTCAGCACTTTGAATTTTTCAGGGTTGTTAATATTCTACAGAGTTAGATAACAATTTATTATAATTACTTGAGTATAACTTCATCTTTTACCACTGCTCCCCTGAAGTTGTAATACATTAGTTATAACTTTTATAAACATTCATTTATTTGAATATCCCAGTTCCCAGTGCGGAATGCCTTTCCTCCTTTGATGACCTTAGGATATCTTCCCACTACTTTCTCTATCAGGTCTTGGCTGACTCCTCTTAAGTTCATATTGCTTATTTTATATATAAACTTGTATATAAACTTGTAAATGTACTGAAGTAGATTTTGTGTGTTTGTGTGTGTGTTTTTTTTTTTGGCACTGAAACTGAAGATAGGGTCTTTTAAGCTGAGGACTAGAGGAAGTTGTGAAATATGAGTCATGATGGGCGTTTTCATTGTGTAATAAGTAATGTTTCTTCTGCTCTAGGTAAGGAATATCTCTTATGTTAAAATGTTTCCTTTTTTGAAATTGAAGTATATTCTCATGTGAAAAAATTTTCACGTTTAAATAAACCCTTAATTTCGTGAGAAATGGCCAGTTTTATTATATATAGACAGGATATTTAATTAAATTCAGAGAGAAATTAAAGTTTAATGGAGCTAAAAAGTAAACATAATTTAATAAGGCAAGTAGGCTACATATTTACTCCACAAATGTCACACTGCAGTATGTGGATATGAATATTTGCTTAATAATGCCATAATTCACATGTAATGATGACTTAAAAAACCATAGACTTATATAGCATCTACATTATGTTTCTAATATACTGGATATTTCTGTAGCCTTTTGTAGTTTTGTTTGTCTTAAAGGTTACATAAAGCTAGCGGTCCATTATAATAAAAATGTACAGTAAAATAATAAAGTCCTCACTATTTATTTTAACTGAACAGTATGCTTAGAAATTGTTTAGTACTTGGACTTTAATTTGCTATGATGGATTCTTTAAATAAAAGTAGGTGTAAAACTATTAGTGATTGATTGCATTATTTCCCCCCCATATGTATCTGTTCTATATTTCAGTAAATTTAAGTAAAGGGAAGAAAGAGATGCTGGTTTTTATGGTTCCCTTATTTGAAGAGTCAGGAACTGTTGTGTTGACTTGACAATTTCTTATCAGTCTTTTTTGACAGTTTAATATCTCAAAGTGCTGTATAACAAGCTCATCACACATTTTGGTTGGGACTAGAGTAGCAAAGTTTGCTATTTATAACTACAGCCTAAGTATAGTTGGTCATTAAAACTGGAGTCTGAATTAGGACTTTTCTCTTAAAAATGGTGATTTTAAACATTCATAGTTGTCATTCAAGGTTTTTAGTTCAGCTCAGTTCTTTAAAGTCTTCAATATTATTTTATTTGAAGAATTTATAAAATTCTTGGAAATAACTTGACCATGAAGTTTCTGTTGGTCTATAAATGTTTGCCCTAAATCAAGTCAAGTTGCAAGTTATCTGGCTGCCTTGAAATCAGATTAATTGCCAACTGTAGTTGAACTCAGTTTCTTTCTTGTGATTTTTAAATCCTGTGCCTTTTTTATGAGCAGAGCAAACTAATTTTTAGCCTTTCCCTCCTTTGTCATGACTGCAGGTATTTCTTTGGAATTAACTCCATTCTTCCACATCTGATTTCTAGCATTGTAAATATTTTGTTTTTGTGCCATTATTAATTTATTTTTAAAACATAGTAACCTTGTGCCGTTGTTATTTTTAAAACATAGTAACCAAAGTCATATAACTCTCAAAAGTATTTAACAGAACTATAGACAATAAAAAATGTACTCTTTCAAAAGTTAGGAGGTTTAGAAAAACAAGTGCTCAGATTATCCACATTGTTACTCAAAATGTCTATTTCCTTATAGGTTAGTGTTTAGGGGGGCAGCCAGATATACAAGGGTGATTTGCATAAGTAATGAAATGCTCCTAACTCAGGACACATACATTGAGATGAGTATCTTTTCGTGGTTGACTGAAAAGCAGGTGAAAATCATACTGATAATTCTGAAATCATGGCAAAACATTAAATAACCGCAGGATGGAATTTTCCTGCGTCTGGGATGGTAGATTCATACTGGATTTCATTCTCTGAACATTTTAAATAAATTTTCATGTTTCTGTAAAACATATATTGGTTGTATTAATGGGTACTGTGTCACCAATATAACAAACTGGGAACTCCATTTAACTTCACTAGTTCCTGACAACCAAAGTGGTCAGAGTAAAAAAAGCTCCTTAATAGCTCGAGATAATTTTGGAAACACGTTTTTATATAACCTTTGGTGACATTAAGAAAAATCCACAAGCCAAAACTTTGGACAGACATAAAGATACCCCAGAAATAAGCAACTTTTTAAACCAATGAAAGTTTCACAGAGTGCATAACTGCTAACAAATTAAATAGCTAAAAGCTGAATTTGCAAGTTGATTCTATTATTTAAACTAAATGCTAGGTAATGCGATTACTGATCTTCCCGCCTGTTTTTTTTGGGGGGGAGGGGGGCAAAGGTTGTCAAAGATGGGGCTTCTTCGCAGCACACAAACGTGTGCACATGTGCTCAGTGCTTCCTGCCTCAAGAAACTACCCATCAGGAACTCAAGCGGCGTCGGAAGGAGTGATTTGCGAGGGAAGTAGGGGCAAGTGGCCCAGGAGGAGACATGGATACATTATTACCCTAACCCACGTGCTCGGCCCTGAAGCGCACACTGTGGGTCCCGCGGAGCTGGGCTAAAAGCTGGGTAGCAGTCCTCCGGGGAACTGTAAGTGTGGGGAACTGGCTGGCGCCTCACCTTGCCGGGGACCCCGCGATGGTCGGTGCTGCCCTGCCAGAAGCGCCTGCTGTAGCCTGTGATGTATCCGACCAGCTTGTCCTGATAAGGGAAATCCACCTTCCAGATCAAGGACCCGTAACCAAAAACCCACATTTTCCCGGTAATCCGACGCCGCAGTAGGTGCCTCAGCTGCGTTCTCAGGGTGCCGGCGGGGTTGCAGTCTACCCGATGCGAGTAACCGGTTGCGCAGGCGCGGGCACGATGGCCTCACAGCTTTCTTGGGGGCGCTAAGCACACTGGGACTTGTAGTTCGATTTCTGTATTGCAGCCTGTAGTTTTTTACTTTCCAGTTTAGGTATCAAAAAGCATTGTCATGTATACTAAGCTGTGGCTCATTTTAGAGTCTAAATCACTCTAACCTCAGATGTGTAGTGCTGATGACTACAATAGCCACAGTCCTTCCTAGGTTTTTGTGATTTGGAGGTTGCAACTGTTTGCTTTTTACAAAGGAGAAGAGGGAGGAAGAGGAGGAGAAAAGGGCAGCATCTGTGGCTGGCATGGTCTAGATACCGAAAGGAGCTTTATGAGCACCCCAGATGACATTTTGTTTTGCTTTGAAAGTTGGATATCTACAATAGCCACAGTCCTTCCCAGGTTTTTGTGGTTTGGAGGTTGCAACTGTTTGCTTTTTACGAAGGAGAAGAAGGAGGAGGAGAAAAGGGCAGCATCTGTGGCTGGCGTGGTCTAGATACCGAAAAGAGCTTCATGAGCACCCCAGATGACATTTTGTTTTGCTTTGAAAGTTGGATATATGCCCGCGTGATAGAGCCAGAGGAGCACAAGCTAGGAGTGTAATCGTATTTGACTATATATAAAAACAATCTTGCTAGTTTTATACATCTGAAAGAGCTCTTCAACAAAATTTGCTTACATGTTTGAGCTTTATGCAAAAGGACATTATTCATCTTTAGTATTCTCAGTAGTTCATTTAGAGAAGAGTAGGGAAAACTTAGCTCTTGTGCAGTTTGGAAGCCATCTGGGAACCCTCCTGAAATTGTGTACAAAATTTGGGCCTGTGCCTATTTTTCTGGGGAGAACTTTCATCCTTTTCATGAGTTTCTCTAATGGATCAAGGATCTTTAAAAGTATTAAAATCTGCTGGATAGAGCCTAACATATTGCTTAGGAAGCTTATTTGGATTATCATGGTTGAGTTTTTGAATGTGAAAACAGAAGCCTTTCAACATGATTTTTTATAAGTATGTTTATTACATCATCATTTTTGTATAATATATGATTTCTCTATGAAATTCCCACCACCAATTCACCTGTGTACTGTCACCATAGTCCCTTGTGCTCTTCCTAGTTCTGTCCTGATCCTTCTCCCTCCTCTCTCCTATAGAATGTTTCTGATTTATAGTTGCCTGATGATGATTTTGATTTTTACTATTACAGTTACTTTTTTTTTTTTTCCTGATCCCTTATTTAGTTCCTCTACATTCCTCTTATATTGTTCTTTTTCTTTCTGGTTGGTTTATTTCACTGAGCATAATTCCTCAACATGATTGTTTTTTTATTAGTATTTCTATTTCATGGTCTTTAGCTTCATAAAAGAATGCCTAAACACCCAAGTACAAGAATATTTAAAAAGAATCACCTAGAGGGGGCCTCTCTGGTGGCATAGGGGTTAATTTCCTGTGCTCTCACTACTGTGGCCTCGTTTGGGTCTCCCAGCTATGGAACTAACCCACGTGGGATATATTGCTCTTCTGTTTCACCCTCTGCTCCCCTTCGCAGTGTATTTCAGTTTCAGTAGATGTGCCATTCTGCTCCCCATTCTGTTTGTGGTGAATTGTCTTACCCCACCCCCCACCCCACCTCCTATCCTAATTCATCAATAAACAAATGAATAAAAAGCTTTTTACCTGTATTGAAAGAGACGTGTTGCTGACATTTCCTCAACTGCTACCTGAGATCTTTAGAAAACCTAAAAGGGTATGTGGAATCTGAATGTTACTGAGAACTACTCCTTAGAGTAAATATTCTGAGAAACCTGAATCTTAGTGCAACCTGCCTCATAGAATGAGTAACAAGAATTTGTATTTGTGAGGGGTATTTACTGAGAGCTATACTGGGTGCTAACTCCAGGGGAAACTGATGTGAACTTTGAAGGGAAATAATGAGGAAAAGGACAGTAATGCTAAGAAGAACTTTCTGGACTGGTGGAGGAAAGTTGGATTCCTCTTTTTATGTCCTTTGTCCATTTAAGTATATTCAGTAAGTGGGGTTGTTTCATGAAGGAAAGAAAACCTTAGGGTATAGCCTCCTAAAAAAGATCAGCTGAAGCAAAAAACTAGATTTTTTGCATGTCTTTGTTATTTTCATGTCTTTCATTCTTTTTGTAGCCTTTGGGTTTTGCTTTTTCCTATGGAGGTATAAATTGATTCTTTAGACTGATCATTGGTGGTAGTTAAGTGTCTGCATAATAGAAGATGCATTTGTGATTAACTGAAGGTATGTAATTCTTTTATGTATAGAGTTCCATTGAGCACATTTAGTAGACTATGAATAGTAACACAGGTCTGCAGAAAGGAGCCTCTTAGACAACATTTCCAGAGAAGGAAAGATAGAATACTTAAAACTCCCTTGATAGCTTTAATAAAAACATTCCAAAGAATCTTGATTCACCAAAACAGAGACTTTCTGGTTTAGACAGCAGCAGAGGCTATGCTTGAGAGGTGACTTTCTTCACCTCAGGCTCTTCCTTAAGCAGTCATATGAAAGATGCAGGACAGGCGCCTCCTTTTGCTATCTGTTTAGTCTCTAGGAGTATGGTGTTTCATTGATTATTGTGTTTTCTTTTTACCTTCTTTTGTAGACTGGTCAAAAGAATGGATTTTACAGAGGCTTATTCTGACACATGTTCCACAGTTGGGCTTGCTGCCAGGGAAGGTAATGTGAAAGTCTTGAGAAAACTGCTCAGAAAGGGACGCAGCATTGATGTTGCTGATAACAGAGGATGGATGCCAATTCATGAAGCAGCTTATCATAATTCTGTAGAATGTTTGCGGATGTTAATTCATGCAGGTAAAGTAAATTAAAAGTATGGGAGGCTAGGCCCAGATGTGTTAAGAACACAGATGCAAATAGTATTACATGACTTATTGTTTCCTTTTCTACAACCATAAAATAACTGCCTGCAGCTCATTTATTAAGAATGGTAAAATTGCTGCCTTGGATTATATCAGAATGGTGTTTGAACTGGATATCTGTAAAAATCCTTTATATGAACGTGCCTGTGCTTGGCCCTTTTCTATGTTCTGAGCTAGGTAATGTGGCAAAAGTAGCCTGTGGTTACAATTTAAACATTTGGTAGTTACTGGTCATGTTTATTCTTTCTTCCTTTTACAAACAAAACCAGCACATAGTGTTGCTGAAATTGAGGGTGTGAATGTTTATCTTCCATTACACTTTTTTTTTTATACTTTTCAGTTTCTCTTAGTTTTGGGAATCTTCCCTATTTCTTTCACTTTGTATTTTCTGGGGACACCATACAGAGCAGGACAGAAAAGTTAACTTCTTTCTTGATTTTTTTATTAAGGGTTGTCAGACAATAAATATTTAAACAAAAAAGATGCTTTTAAAAGGTAAAAGGTCTTGTGGAGAAATGGAGCAATGGGACAGGGAGTAGCAGGTGCAACTACAATTATTTCCAACTATATTAAGTTGACTTCATGCTTGTAACTTGAGATCTGATATACACCATAGAAATTAGCCTGTGCTACAAACCCAGGTTTTTTTTTCCCCTCCTGGAGAGTCAGCTTAACGTTAACCATCACACCATTGAGTGGAAGACTTGGTGAGAGCAAATGAGAGATTCAGACCTTGGGAAATGGGGCAGGGAAGAGGAAATGGTGACAGATCACTGCATTTTTTTTTTTAAGATTTATTTATTTATTCATATATAACTGGGGTACAGGCCAGAGATGTGGAGGGTGAGAGGATTCACCAGAGACAGAGTGGGGAGCAGAACAGGCAGATCGACGAAGTATACTGCCTAGGGGAGCAGTGGGCGGGTCAGGAGAGGTCTGCCTCGCCATGTGGTCACCTCCGGGGCAGGTGGGGATCCAACCCATGCGGAAGTGGCTTAAGCTTCTTAGTGCAGTGCTTTAACCCGCTGCCACCAGGGAGGGCCCAGATCAACTGCATTTTAAGAAGCATCATAGTAGATGCTTGGCTCAAGTTACCTGTCACACACAAAGCTGCTACTGACTTATTGTTAACCCCATTTTGTTGGTGAAAAGATCAAAGGTTTTTGACTTATCAAAGGTTACATAACAAAAACTAGGACATTTGATTTGAATTCATTTTTCTTTGACACTAAAGCTCATGTTTTCCCATTGTAGCATACGACCAACATTTAATCACGTACTCATTTGAAAAAGTTAAACTGAGGTTGAATATTACACTGCATGCTATAGATTCACTGAGCCACTTACATTCCACCGTTCATAAATATTCAGATTCTTCTTCTCTGTATACTTGTCATCATTAGGTATATTTCCTAAAAAATTAGACTTCTGGGTCTGTAGCTCATTACAATGATTAACTCTCATTACCTCATGAGTGGGACTCATAATGCAGGAAATTTGTCGTTAATGCTTTTTAAATCACATGTTCTAATGTCTATTATAGTTTAATATTTAGAGACAATACAAAAGCAGATTTTATGCCTCACATTTAAAAGTCTTAATATGGGCCCTCCCTGGTGGCGCAGTGGGTTAAAGCACTGTGCTGGGAATCAAAAGCTACTTCTGCATGAGTTCGATCCCCGCCTGCCCCGGAGGAGATCCACATTGCGCGGCAGACCTCTCCTGACCCGCCCGCTGCTCCCCTCAGCAGTGTACCTCGTTGATCTGCCTGTTCTGCTCCCCACAGTCTCTGGTGAATCCTCTCACCCCCCGCCCCCTCCCCTGGCCTGCACCCCATCTGTTTTATGCATAGATTCATAAAAACAATCTTAAAAAAAAAAGTCTTAATATGCATTTTCAGAATCTGAAGTTAATTCTGTAGCTTGAGTTTGCAAACTTTCTCTAGGGGCATAGAAATTTGACTATTCTTTTCTAGTAAGAAAGCTCATCCTTGATAAACTGTTCTTTCTCTTTCCATATCAGAATAGAGTTATGCTACAATTTTCCCCTTTAGCTGCTGTATAGATTTAGTGCACTTTTATTATTTTAGAAATGCAGTCTTCATTATTACTAGACTGTAGTCCTAAATTAGAAAAAGAATTATTGTAAGCTACATTAATTTATTAGTTGAGTACAGGAAATAATGTTAGAGATGAGACCATTTCCCTCATATAAATGTAGAAATAAATCAAATTTGTTTGTATTTCAGTAATAATAATAACAGCAAAATCTCTTGCTGATGCAATGATTGCTTCCTCTTCAGATCTTGTTTTAGTGTTACCTTTCAACTCTTATCACTCTTCTCTCACCCACCAAAAATTAGTTTTTGGGCAGTTCATGTGTTTAGAATAGCAGAGGCTGTTCACACTATGACTATTGTGTTGTTTTTTTATTTTCTGAATTTCTAAATTAGGAGAGTTCTAGCTTATAAATTACTTATACTTCATTAATTTTTTTCTTGGAATCTTTCTTTTTTAATCCCAAAAAGTAGATATAATCTTCTACTTGTATTCTTTTATCTCTTAGAGTCATCTGAAAACTACATTAAGACAAAGACTTTTGAAGGCTTGTCTGCATTACATCTTGCTGCAAGTCAAGGACATTGGAAGATTGTACAGATTCTTTTAGAAGCTGGAGCAGATCCTAATGAAACAACTTTAGAGGAAACCACACCACTGTTTTTAGGTGAAGTATTTATTTGTGGTACAGATGCCGTTATTTTACTTTAATTAATTTTTAAAGTAACTGTTTCAATTTCCCACAGAGATATATTTACAATTTATTCCATGACAAATGTTATACTGCCCCTTTGATTCTGACACCAAAGATGTATTTTTTTTTAAAGATTTATTATGCATATAAGAACTGGGGTATAGGCCAGAGGTACAGGGGGTGAGAGGATTCACCAGAGACAGAGTAGGGAACAGAATAGGCAGAAGTAGTGAAGTACACTGCTGAGGGGAACAGTGGGCGGGTCAGGAGAGGTCTCCATGCCCGTTGGGCCACCTCCCTGGCTGGAAGCAATCTTGTGCTTCAGTGGCTGCTTATCCCCCCACAGTGCTGTGCTTTAACCCATTGCACCACGAGGGAGGGACCCAAAGGTGTATTTTTAAAAGTTCTGCCTTTGTTTTCTACTTTGGTGATAAATCATTTGGAAATATCTTTGTGTTTATTTAAAGTTGTAAAATCTGTTCTGAATTTAGTCACCATTGCTGCTGTCTGATTGTCCTTTTGCTTAAATAGTAGCACTAGTTAAAAGGTTACTTATGAGTGTTTTATGTTTGCATTTGCTTTTTCTAAGCATTAAGAAATCAGTGTTATATGGAAGAAATCACCAGCTAATCCATTAAACCACTTAATTTGTTGCCTTTATGGATCACTATTCATACCTACCCTGATGGCCATGTTGCCACCTAGATTGTTGCAAGAGGCTACAGAATGGAATCACTGAAGATCATGGGTTAAAAAAACAAATACAGAATTATGGAAATTTACCAGGTTACTGAAAAAAAAGAATGTCATTGACATCAGTGATATGTAATGATGATTGAACTTAAGTTTGAATGCCATGGGTTAGAAAATCTACTTCAGCATTTATAATGGGAGCATCTTTCCTACACTGAATTCAGCAAGATTTGTGAACTTCAAAAAAGAACTCTTCAGAGGCAGAAATAGTCAAAATGAGAGACATACAAGAGAGGAAAAATTTAGAAAACTTGTATCTTTCCATGAGAAAAACTATCTTTCCAGAACTTTTTATTGGACTCAGATATACTTTAAAGTTTACATTTTAACTAATATTCTACCCGCATACTTATTTTCTCCATTCTCATTTCTTTCCCCACTCCTTGCAGTTAGGTGAACACAGTAAAATATATTCTAAAAATATATTTCCAAAAATTAGATAGGAAATAGATTTTCTTTTTATTTTTCTATCTATAAAATGAGATAAATTGAAGGCTCAAATCCAACTCTGTGTGACTTCATAGAACAATTTCTGTGGGAACTGCACAGCATGAAGGTTTGGCTTTTGATAGATTGTTTTTCATTTTTTGTTCTTCTGAGTCTGCTTATTTTATGTAACCTTCAATGTTAAACATAACAGTGATGTTTAGTAAGAACAAAATGTTTGATAAATAGTGTTATGTAAGGCTGCCTATTTAAATATTTAACTGTAAAACGTATATTTTAGCTCATGTAGCATATTTTTTAACTGACACTGGTGATACATTCCACAATCGATCACACCACTATGTATTTCACTTTTTACTTGTATCTTCATGATTTTCATAGGGTTATAATGTTTTTTGAGGTGCTTAGAATTTTTAGATTTGGTATTTATATATTTAATATATATTAAACCTTATCTCAGTGTTCTTATTAGATTTTTTTCAAAAAACTGATTAATCATCTTCCCCTGAGATGGTAACTTCAACATTTTTATTTAAGGACATGTTTTTGTTATTTTTCAAAGATTTATTTTATTTATTTATGCATACAAGAAATGGGATACAGGCCAGAGGTACAGGGGGTGAGAGGATTCACCAGAGACAGAACAGGGAGCAGATCAGGCAGATCTGCTGAGGGAAGCAGTGAGACAGGAGAGGTCTGCTGCACCATGTGTGTTGTCTCCCTGTTCTGGGATTGTACTCAAATCTCATTCTGCTGTGGCTGGCAGTATTAACCCCTGAGCCACCAGGACCCCTGAGGGCATGTTAATTATTCAAAAAATGATTTTGCACTTTCTCAGATTATAATTATGGAACTAACTAAAAAGTTATATTGAAAAAGTATTAGTTTCACATTGTAATGTTTACTTTTATGTTTTTATATTATGTTGTTTCTTAAGCTTTTGAATTTAATTATATCCTTATTTTAAAAACTTATTTCTTCGAAGAATTATTTATTTATGCATAGAAGAACTGGAGTCAGGTGTTGGGGTAGTGACAGGATTCACCAGCAACAGTGTGGGGAGCTGAACAGGCAAATTTACTAAAATATACTGCTGAAGGGAGCAGTGGTGAGGGGAAACAGGAGAGGTCTGCTGTGCCTTGTGTGGGTTAAATGCTCCCTGGATGGGCTCAAGTCAGGCCATAGTGGTGTTAGCATGAGGCTTAGCCCCTGTGCCAGCAGGGAGGTGTCCCTCTGTTGTTTGAGGGTTGTGATATGGTTTCATCCCTTGTTGTAAGCATTTAGGAACTAGGTTATATGTTATATTTCTTTTTATACCTTAATAGAATTAAGTATATTTATATATCCTTTTATTTTGTTAGTCATGTTTGAATAATAGATTTAAACTTTAAACTTTTAATGATGAGCAATTCTGTATCTTTGTTTTATCCTTTTGTAACTTTTTCTCACTTTTTTTTGCTGGTATTTGCTAGTTACATCTTTTTTCATTGTCTTTGGAAATTACATTTTCATCTTTTCTGGCATCTTAATTCCTTCTAATAACACTCTGTCTTTTTTATAAAACTTCTGTGTCCCTTTTCAGAAATGTTCAATCTGTAATATTTTTTCAATTCCAATTACATTTCTATGATTGTCTTATTTTTTCCAGATTTTTTCTAAATTTCCAAACTTTCTAAATATGTGTAGATGTGTGTGTGTGTAAGTATATACTACATTGTTTCATGTCATCTAGCCATCTTTTACTTGAGGATTTATAATTGTTCCTTTTTTCAATGACTTTTAAAAATTTACAAAAAAAGGTTAATTGCAATTTCATTTTCTTTAGTTTATGACAGTATTTTTACAAAATATTAAGAGGGTGTTTTTTTCGGGGAGGGTATGTATTAACAGTTTTCTTTGTAACTCCTCCTACCCTTTTGTGCTTTTGTATGAATAAGTGCTGATTCTTTGTGATAACTCATCTGGAATAATTTGATCTGCTATTTTTGGGAAGATTTTTAATGGGAAGGAGCTAAAACCACATTTCAGATTACTAGTTTTCCTTTTGATTTAAGATTTTGAGGTGTGAGTTCAGTTAGCCATTGTTCAGCAGTCAATGGGCATAGTTATCTGTGGGAATTTGAATTGCAGCTTCTCTTCTATGGTAGTAGAGGCAGACTGCTCTTTCAAATATAAAGGTGTGTTTCTTTTTTTAGATCCAGTCTTCTGAGTTTCAGTTTTCATCTGATTCCAGAAAAATTCTTACTGCTACTCCATGAATTCTTCTCTGCTGGAAGTTTATGTTTTACATTTCACAAATTTGACAAGTTTACTTTGCTAGTTTTTCTCTGAGATATGTAGTTAAGACGTCTTTTCTCCACTTCTCACAAATACCTAAGATTAACCTTCATTTTTTGGAAGCTCTTTTACTTTTGTATTTTTATTATTATGTGATAAAGAATTTTAGCTGAATCCTAGTTTTGCTAACTAAAGAATTTCTACTTCTAATTTGCTGATTTTGGATTAATTGTTTTTGAATGCTTTATAAGAAGAGTAAGGAGAAATGTTTTGCCACATCATTAATTTTTAACATACAAAAATTCTTGATTTCAGTATTTATTAAATTTATAATAATTTAATATTCTAGTTTATGGTGAAAATAGACCTAGATGAGCTCTTCACCACGACCTCTGCCCCTGCCCAAATCATGCAGTCTCTGTTCTCTTTAGGTATCCTAGGAGGTACTACTAAAAATGTCAGTCTATCAGTGTGCTGCTTCATCAAGGTAATCTTGTTTCAGGAAGATTGTCTGCCCACCTACAGTGTGCTTAGGGACACTATTGATTTACGTTCTGTCAAAACTTTTTACCTTGTTGAGAGGGACGGTTTTCAGATTGACAGCCATTCTGTGACGTATACTGAGTAGCAAATACTGCTGTACAGTATGCCTTTGTGGATACCAAACTTTATCATTACATAGTTAAATGCAAAACTGTCAATTATAAACATTATCACCATCGGCCAGTCAATTATATATAATGTCAATTATATATAATTATAACTACTATTTCAGCTGAAAAAGAAGTGTTGTTCTTAGAAATCCTTTGGGTAAAGGATAATTTTTCCAAATATTTTTTGTTTTGTAAGAACTTATGAGTATAATGGATTGATTCTCTAAGCTATCCATAGGGAGATCATACAGCAGTATCTTCTATAGAAAGAATCCTGCTATTTGAGTGGTTCAGAAATGTGAAAATTCCAGAAAGTGGCAGAATTCAATGTTATAGTTCTAGAAGTTTAGGGAATGTATTATTGAAATCAGATGTTTTTCTTATTTCTGCTCCCTGGGAGACATGAAAAAATAAAGCATAATAAGACAGTGGAATTTTAAGTTTATTACTTTTATGACCTATGTGTAACTTCTTGAAGGTGTGCTTTTGGATATAGTCTCCAATATCTAATTGGAGTTGGCCATTATATTTCTCTCTGTCAGAAACCATGGTATATGTCAGTGGCCCTATGTAAAATTGGGTGGGTATGCACCATACCTTTTTGTTAAATTCTTAACATAAACATAATGTTTTTTTCTCATGAGGTTATGGTTTTTCTCATAAGTATATATCTTTCAGATTTTTAGTCACTGGGTATAACTTGATTATAATTTAATAATTAACAAAATTCCATACTTCAGACTGGCCAGGACACATTATATAAATCTATCTTGATAGAGAAAATGTTTTGAAATTATGTACATGTATCCTCAATGGGAATAGTTACTTTGTAACTATTCTGAT